CCCCCCCCCTTTTTTTTTTTTATTAAACAAGAGAAAGTAGACAGATACATGTTGGTTAAATGCTAACTGTCTGCATTCACATAGACACAGTGTAATCTCTGAGCCCCAATATACAGAGAAAGGAAAAAAGCTAGAATTCTATTATTTGGAGTTCACATTTTCTGTTGTAACTTTATTTTTAATTTTTTTTTTATTTTTAGTTTTTTGGTTTTCACTGGAAGGAAAAGATGCTCATTTTAAATGTTGAAGTGTACAAGTTGCTTTGTTACAATAAAACCAATGTGTACACAAAAAACAAAACAAAACAAAATCCTCGCAAAAAAAAAAAAAAAGCCGGGGATTTGCCCAGTGCTGCGACACTACCTTAATCCTCGCGTTAGAATTGCAAAGGCGCAAATCACAGTTTTGTCAGGGACAGAACTGTTGAAAGTCAATCAGCAGAAGGATGGCTTTTCTTCTTGCTTTGTACTCTCAATGTCGGTGAATACTCCGGCAGAGTACGTAACCAAAGGGGCAACTTATTCTCAGTACCTAACGGGTTCCATACTTCTATCACTCCCAAAATTCAAGAGAACACTTCCTTTCTCTTGTTTTTAATGAAGAAATCTATAGATGGCCCCGAGAAAATAATTCTGGGAAAAAAATAGTGAAAGGAAGACCTTCAGTGAAATGAAGTTTTAAAGGGCATCCGCTGGGCACGGTAGTGTATGTATTCATCCTAGCACCAGGGGGGAGAAAGAAGAAGATGAGTTAAGAGCAGCCGCAGGCACGTAGACAGATCAAAGCCGTCCTAGGCTACTGGACACCTTGACTCAAACACACAAACAAAACTCATGGCCAGCATTTGTCTTCCAGATACATGCAGTGTACTGTCATTGATAGTATATTGGGATGTGTTTGGCTTGTTGAAACTTTTCTGGTAAATTGTAAACCCATGTCTTTGCATGTTTTGTTTGGTTTTGGTTTGATTTTGGTGCTCCACTGTCACCGAATAACAATGACATTTAGATATGTTTACAAAGTTAATGTTTTGTTTTCTTCGTTCTGGAAGATGAATTACAATTTAGAAATGGAGGCTGAAGAATTAGATGGCAGGAAGTTGACAATTGATTCCATAATGACCAAAGTAAGAGATATTAAAAATAAGATAAAGGAAGACCTTACTGATGAGCTGAGCTCGAATAAAATCTGTGCTGATCCTACAGGTGAGTTTTTCTTTTCTTTAAAAAACAAACAAAACCCCAACTTTATTGACTGCCTCTAAGGTAAAGGAAAGAGATCAACCACTGTTTGTTGCCTAACATGGTTTTTTTTCTTCAGAAATTTAGACTGTACTTCATACTTTACCTTTTTTGTTGATAAATATTACAAACTTTTCTGCTGTCTAGAGAGAGGCAGGGGGACGCATCATGGGCATGGTAGGGTACTTTATACCGTCATCCCAGCACTTGGAGATCCGAGGCAACAAGATCTCAAGTTTATGGCCAGCGGGGGAAATACAGTAAGGCCCTGCATCAAAAACTCAAAACAACAACAAAAAAGCATCATTTATTAGTGTACTCACCGGTAGTTTTCTTAACTCTTCTGCTCCTGCCAGCTGGCTGTGTTGGCTAATCTGCCTGCTCGCCTTACACGTGCAGGGTTTTCTGTTTGTTTTTGTTTATCTGCTCCTTTTTTTTTTATGGGCTGAGGAAGGTCTATGAATTTTACTGAAGTTATATTTAAATTTTTTTTTTTTTGATTTATGTGTGCATGTGTTACCGGCACATAGGTGTGTATACCACTTTCATGCTTGGTGCTCTTGAAGGTTAGAAGAGGGTCTGGATCCCCTGGAACTGGACTTATGGGTAGTTGTGAGCCACCATATGGGAATGGAACCTGGCTTTTCTGCAAGAGCAACAAATCCTCTTAACTCCTGAGCCATCATCTCTCCAGTCTCCTAAAGTTATATTGAATCTTAACACCAAACTCTGGATTTGAAGGGTCCTCCTATTGGTCTTGTGGCTTCCCCACCCCCTTTCCTCTGTTAGCCCTCTTATAGCCAGAGGTCCCTCCAGTCCCAAACAGGTGTCACTTTGACCTCTTCCTACTTTTAAATGTCCGCTTGCGTGGCCTTCCCTAATGCGCCTGTTTCAGACAGTTGCCAACTGAGATGGGAATGTGTCCCCTTGTGCTGTTTATACAGCCCGAATTCATTTCATGTATAATGTATCTGTATGTTTAGATATCGTTCTGTTCTCCACTAGAGTGCTGTTTCCATGAGGACAGTTTTCCAATCTGTTGCTCTGTCCAGTGCTTAGAATGAAACCTGGTGTGAAGTTGGCACTTAGTGGGTGACGACAGCTGAGCGCGTAATGCACTAGCTTTGTCAGAAGCATTAGGCTCACAAGCTGGTCTTTATTTTTCGAATGGTTGATGTCATTTGAGTGGTCATCATATGGCTCTTCACAGGATAAGACAGAGATGCTCTGTGTTCCATCTTTATAAACTGTGGGTTAGAACTTAGTAACTATGTGGATGGCAGGTTAGGAAAAACTGGCAACCATGTCTGAATGCTTGGTAATTGAAATTTAATTCAAAGGCAAATGTACGATAAATCCAAGGTGCTTCTGCCTCTATGTGCCCATGTTGCATTGCTCAGCTGCCCTGTGGCCTCGGTTCCAAGTGCCCAGTGTGTGCACTGTGCACAGTGTCCCACCACTCAGTGCTGGTGTACACCGTCTGCAATACCTTGGCTGAGATTTGAGATGATTGCATGTTTTAACTGTGCATATGAAGTTTCTTGCTCTTACAAGAATGCAATAGTTTAATGAACAACAGCAAAACTTTTAACATTTTCCCGCTGCTCTTCCTTATGGGTATGAAATTACCATTATCTTTGGATTGTAATATGTTAGAATGCTTGATTTTAAAAGTTGCAGGTTTGCTGACTTAAATTTCATTTAAAAATGTTAATTTATGCTTAGGATTAGAACAGAATTTCCAAGAGTTTTTAAAATTGCCATGAATGTATTTCTTCCATTTTGTACTATATATTTATGGTCGGTAAGTGGCAATCTCAGCATTGGTGAAAATAAAATCAAAATACTGATCAGTTTGGAGAACACTAGAGATGTTCCTTGCCTTCCAATTTCTTTTTTTTTTTTTAAATATTTATTTATTTATTATGTATACAATATTCTGTTTGTGTGTATCTCTGCAGGCCAGAAGAGGGCACCAGACCTCATTACAGATGGTTGTGAGTCACCATGTGGTTGCTGGGAATTGAACTCAGGACCTTTGGAAGGGCAGGCAATGCTCTTAACCACTGAGCCATCTCTCCAGCCCCTTGCCTTCCAATTTCAAATATCCAGCCAAGATGTCTTTTTTTGCGTAAAATATAAATAAATGCATCCATTTTATTAGGATATAGGTTTGCCTTCATTCTTTGTTTTGTTTTGTTTTGTTTTTTTGAAAAAGGGTTTCTCTGTGGCTTTGGAGCCTGTCTTGGAACTCACTCTGTTGACCAGACTGGCCTCGAACTCATAGAAATCCACTTGTCTCTGCCTCCCAAGCACTGGGAGTAAAGGTGTGCATGACCATTGCCTGGCTTTGTTTTCGTTCTTGATCAATGGTAAAATTGTGTGTGACAAAATTGTTTTGAAATAGGTTGATTTATGTTATTGGCATTAAGTGTTCAATTTGTATGCCTGTTTCATATTCTTGCATTCCTGGTGGTTGCTTAAAAATTTCTCAGGTGAAAGGGGATTGCAGATTTGGAAGCACTCTCTGTTCAATAGAGAGGTTGGTTGGTGCCCAGAGGTCTTGGGAATCTATCTCCAGATCACAAACGACAAAATGCATTTTTTAGGTATTTCACAAAGTAGCTTTTAGGAAATTAGTAGAAGATAAACTGAGAAATTAAGTTAGGATTCGGCCAAATTAAATTCAGAGTGAGAAAGCAAAGTCCTGAGTGAGGTGTTCTTGCAGAAAGCAAGAAGAGTCATTTTTGTCTGCAAATGGAGTGACAGCTCCTTTGGGAAACTATAATTTGTAAGTACTTATTAACCACTAAAATACCCTAATTAGGAGATTGGCAGGTAAATTTCTTTAAAAACAAAACAACGAGTCAGCACTGAATAAGTGCGTTACCAAGTGAAACTATGCTTGGCGGATTTAATCCAGGACTGCGTACACTAGGCAGGACAGGCTTGGTTGTTGAATGCCTTGAAACTCAACACCCAGAAGGCAGAGAGGGGACCAGAGGTACAAGGTCACCCTCCGCTAAGTATTGAGTTGTATACTACCTGGGCTATATGAAACTGCTATAAAAACAAAGCAAGATTGACTGAAATTTATTTTCTTGTTGTGGTTTTGGTTTATTTATTTTGAGACAGTCTCCCTTTAGCCATTCTGATACGGCTGTGTAGACCAGACTGATCTCAAAACTCACAGAGATCCTCTTACCTCTGCCTCCCCAGCCCTGGGATGAAAAGTGTGTATCACCATGCCTTGCTTGAAGTTTATTCTTGCTGTTCTATGTAGGATGAGATTTCACAGCAAGAAAACTAATGCCCACAAGAAGCCCTGTAGGATCTGAAGGCATGGATTGGTGAGACCAGGAAATTAGCAGGGCGTTTAAGAGAAATGTAGGAAACTTGGAAGAAAGCCTTAGTGCCCTTGTTCCTTTGCTTCTCTGGTTATAGTTTAAGTAAGTCTGAGGTACATGGTACTAACGTTGGCTATTATTATTACTATTACCAAGGAAAGGTTGTGTCCAGCCAGAGGCTCATACTTCTGAAACATGAATTAGATGATTGATAGAGAATTTTTCAGTGTGAATTCTCACAGTTGAAAATAGTGAGATATGACCTGGAGAGATGGCTCAGTGATTAAAGTACTGGCAGAGGACCCAAGTTCAATTCCCAGCACCTATACTACAGTTCACAACTGTCTCTGTTTTTAAGGTTATAATTACATAGTTTAGACAATCCTAAAAAGATATCTCAAGACCTCTGGCTTCCCAGAGCACCGTGCATGCATGTGGTGCACAGACATACATGTAAGCAAAACACCCATACACCCAAAATAAATTATTTTAAAAATAAATAAAATCATGAATTAAAATAGTAATGTGCTTATGTACATTGGCAGTATTGTAAATGCTTAGCTATAATTTGGAGGGCACTGTAATTTGTTTACTATTTATCTGTTTCTTTGTTGTAATTCTTTTTCTTTTTGTTCATATAATACAGAAACGGTTAACCAAATTATGATGATGGCGAACACCCCAGAGAACTGGTTGAATTTCTTGCTGAAACTAGAGAAGAACAGTGTCCCCCTAAATGATGCTTTTTTAAATAAGTTGATCGGTCGCTATAGTCAAGCAATTGAAGCCCTTCCTCCAGATAAATATGGCCAGAATGAGAGCTTTGCTCGAATCCAAGTCAGACTTGCCGAATTAAAAGCTTAAGTTTTAGCTTTGAAGCTACACTTAACCAACTATATATGTACTACATTACAAAGAGAGAAGGTAAAAACTTGTAATTTGTGTTTTTTAACCCAATACTTTTGTTTTAATATAAATATTTTCCTGTGGATATAGATTTTTCAAAGTTGCAGAGTTTAGAAAGTTCCTAAAACAGTGCACAAATGTCACAGAGGTTTTCTTATTTTTGCATAAACAATAATCCATGTCTTTGAAAAGAGAAGTTATCAATGGTAGGTAACTATGTCCTTTTGGGATTTTTTAAATTTGGGTATGTTTTGTTGTAGTATTCAAGAACCTGATGATGCTCATGACTACTTTCAAATGGCCAGAGAAAACTGCAAGAAGTTTGCTTTTGTGCATGTGTCTTTTGCACAGTTTGAACTGTCTCAAGGTAATCTGAAAGTGTCACGTGTACAATTTAAGTGAAAGCACGTCCTAGTGTACGTAGTGTTGAATCATAGATTTGAAGTGAACAATTAAAGCGGAAATACTGCAGTTAAGCAGATGAGAGCGTGGAACGGGCGTGCTTTGTGGTGTAAGTAGAGTGTGCACTCTGCTCTCTGCTCACAAAGAAAGGTCTGTGGAAATAAACCCCGACATCTGAAGCAAAGCTTTCTCATTGAGTATTTGTAGAATACAAATGCTGGAACTTAGATAAACTTGTCTAGTCTGTGTGTCCTAGCCCTGGAGGGTGTGTTAAAATAATACTGTGACCTTGACCTGGTGGATCTCCCTAATACCCCACTGCAAGAACATTTCTTCTGCTTACGTGATCCTTCATAGTCTGCCTTTTGCTATAAGGCCAAAGCATCTTTTCTGTGAGACATTTTATAAGCTTGTTAAGAATTATAATCTTTGTTTAACTTTCTTTTTATTTATTCTTTGTGTCTTTCACATCATGCGTCTTGATCCTTTTCATTTCCCATCCCTGAGTATGCGCCCTCTGCCCTTGCAGCACCCACCCCCATAAAATATAAGCGAAAAAAGAAAAGGGGGGGGGAATCTCATCACGGAAGCTGTAGTGTGACACAGGGAGTCACGCAGTAAACCCTTTTATCAGTATATCTTCGCTTGCAAGTGTTCATTGCAAAGAATCTTTAGCTTGAGGCCTCTGGTTTCTGCTACAGCAGTGATGCTGGGCCCTCACTGGAACCCCTGCTGTTACCCTGTGTCATGGAGATCCTGCAGCTTTGGTCTACAGGATCACGGATCGGGTGGATATTGGGGTGGACCAGCCCATAACCCTGGTTCTAGGCCTGGGTAGTTGCAGTGTTGGTCAGCTCTCTCTTACCCTCTCACCACCAGGGTGAACTCTCCTGCATCGTTCCTGCAAGTTCACCCCTTGCAGCAGTGAGCCACGGGCAGGGCTTGTTCCCCTGCTTTCCTGTCCTCGTGGCCAGCTCTATTGTGTTGCCCAGACTGGGCACAGGGGCCACTCTCCTGAGTGCTGCAGCGGAGGAGGAGCAGGGCTGGCACTCCCTCTCTTAGGACCTCAAGGTCAAGCGTTGGTGGACAGAAGAGGGGAGGGCATCTCGCTCCCACCCATGCCACCACGTGACTGATGGGTAATAGGGACAGCTCCTTCTTACTCACCCATGCCTCTGCCAGTAGAGTTAACTCTATTGTGCTGTTACATGAGGTGCAAGGCCTGCTCTCCCAACTGTTGCAGCTGGTGGTGGGTAGGGGCATCCCTGAGACATTTTTAAGCTGCCTATTCCATAGTATTTTTCCCCTCATATTCTGGGGATCTTTGTACCTGATTTGATTTTATACCTGATGTGACTAAAGTAAGGTTTGTTCAAGGCAAACTCCTCCCCAGGTTTGAGGTGGGAAAAAACGTTGAACAACTCAGACATGGTTTGGGAATCCTCAGTTTACTGAGGCGTTTCCCAAGTTCTAGTAATCAAATCTGTAGTGTACTGTGTATTTATAAAACACACTTTCCCTCCTAGAGAAACTGTTATCTCCTTGCTTTTTATGGTAGGTCTGGTCAGGCCTTTAAGACCCAGTGGCCTTTCAATAGTAGCTGTAACGGAGAACGAATAAACTGAGCTGTTTATAAACACAAAACTAAATCCCTGAAGCGTAGCAGTAGCCGCCAGGTCAAAATTGTGATTGCTTTGAGCAGGGTGGATAGACGGCTGCTGGAGCTATGCAGCTTCCTGGGATCTGCCTTTAGAGGGGAAGGGGATCCCAGCATTTTCCAGAGGCTCTCATGACTTTTTGACTTGAGTTAATAAGGTCTTAAATTATTGGTGCTTCTCTAAGTATTTAGGTTTACTAAAGTTCTCAGTTACATGCAATTTTTTTCACATTTCTCAATAAACATAAGGATTTAATTGTTAAAGGTTTTTGTAGGGCATGTGTTATATGCTGAGTGAGTGCATCTTCCCTACCCCAGTTCTCCCCACCTGCCTTTTTCTCTCCCTCTCCCTCTTTAATCACTTTTGTTGCCCCAGTCAGTTTTACTTCTATTTGCATGTATATATATATATATATATATATATATATTTGCTTATATATATACATATATACACATGATTTTATGTTACTGTATAAACATCTAGGGCCATAAAAGAAAAAAATGATATTTAGCTAAAATCAGCTTGGTTTGCTTAATATGATTGTCTCTAGTTGCACCCATTTTCCTGCAAAGGTCGTAACTTCATTCTTTTTTGGCAGAAAATAATTTCATTGGGTATATATACCACATTTTTGTTATCCATTTCTCTGTTAGATACCCATCTTGATTTCATGGCTTAACTGTTGTGACTAGTTTTCTGTTTTATGTGTATGAGTGTTTTGCCTGCTTGTATGTTCTTGAGCCATGTATATACCTGCAACCCATAGAAGTCTGAGGAAGGCATCGGGTCCCCTGAAAGCAGAGTTCTAGATGGTTGTGGGGTACCCTGTGAGTGCTGTGCACCAAACCCTGGTTCTCTACAAGAACAAGTGTTAAACTCTGAGCCACGTCTCTAGCCTTGCCTATACTGCTGCAGCAAACACTGCTGTGAAGTCTCTCTGTTTTATGTTATATGTCCTTTGAGTAAGTGAATACCCAGGAAATAGTTGGGCCATGTGTTAAGTCTGTTTCTAGTGTTCTGAGAAGCCTTGGTACTGATGTCCACAAAGATTGGGCTAATTTTTATTCCCATCAGTGGTTTATAAGAATTTTCTTTTGTCCACCTCCGCACCTACATTTATTGTTTGTATTCTTAGTGACTCACATACTCCAGTCAGAACTGGAATAGGATGGATTCTTGATGCAGTTTGATTTGCATTTGTCTGGTGACTAGTGAAGTTGAACACGGTCATGTATTTATTGACCACTTGTATTTCTTCCTTTACGTCTGTCTTTCCTTTTCATTGGCTTATTTATTGTTTGACTTGTTTTCTTATTGCTTAGTTGTTTTTCTTTTTAAGTATTTTTATATTCTGGATATTAGACCTCTATTAGATGCATAGCTGGCAAAGATTCCCATGTTACAGGTGGTTTCTTTACTTTGATTAACTATCTCCTTTGTTGTATGGAAACTTTTTAATGTCATGAAGTCTCATTTGCCAGTTTGGCCTCATTTCTCCAAGATGTGGGACTCCTTTCAGAAAGTCTTTTCCAATAGTGATATCTTGAAGTGTTTTCCCTACTTTATATTCTCTATACCCTAAGGGCCACATTCATAGCACCATAGCCCATGGGTTCCGTTATTGTTGATAACATCCTGTGTGATCCATGATGTACACATTGAATATTTATCAAATATTAGGGATAAATTTGCATTTGAAAGAAAATTTATTAACCTCTATAGTTGTATGTAATCTTTCTTGGTTATTTTGTATTTTGGCAGTTGGGTGTAGATTAACCTAACAGCGGGTGTTGGCCCTTTGTCCTTTTTATGTAAAGAAGAGGCTTTAACAAATTTTTAGTCTTGATGACTAAATGTTACAGTGAATAGTTTGTTATAACACATGACTGTTACTAGTACTGCTGTACTACATAGAATGGTTGAGATGTTTCTAATTGCTGTAGTTGGGTTTGTTTTTTTTGTGTGTGTGTTAATTTATTAAACTTCTAAATGGTGTTTCAGTGATGGACAGGAGTTGGTGTGGAGGAATTGAGTATATGTACGAGAAGTGAGAAATGGCTTATTTGTTTGCCTGTGCCATAATGGGAGTCAGTCTGCTCCTCACCCCCCAGGCACTAATGCGTAAATAAGCAGCTGGAGATGGAGGGTGAAAAGTGCTGCATCAAATCAGTCATTTTTTCCTCTCTTAGGCAATCTTAAAAAAAGCGAACAGCTTCTTCATAAAGCTATAGAAAGCGGAGCAGTGCCGCTGCAGATGCTGGAGATCGCCATGCGCAACTTACACCTCCAGAAAAAGCAGCTACTGTCAGAGGAGGACAAGAAGAGTTTATCAGGTGACTGTCAGTGTGTACTATGGTTTGCTGGAGTAAAATTAGGATTCGGGATACTTTAAAGATGACAAAAAAAATCGTTTAGATATAGTACTTAAAACTTAAAGTTAGATTGTAGGTGTATAAGAGGTAAGATATTCAGAAACAAAGGTCCTTCCTGCATAAACTTGTGTTGGTAACTCCTTTAAAATGACTTGGTCCAAGTAAGAAAGTTGTACTTATTTAGAAGTAAAGGATATACTTTTATCCTGGGCATAAAGCCATGTAAAAGAATGTATTGATGGCATTGTTGTGCTTCCATACTTTGCATGAGGCTCTTACCTATTATAAGTTGTCTTTTAAAATATTCCTGTTTATAAGATTACTTTTTTTGTAAATTTAATCATAATTGTGAAATTTTTTACAGCATCTACAGTACTAACTGCCCAAGAATCATTCTCTAGTTCCCTTGGAAATCTACAGAATAGGAACATGAGTTGTGATTCCAGAGGACAGCCTGCTATAGCCAGGATTTTATATGGAGAGAACATACCTCCACAAGATGCAGAAATAAGTCATCGAAATCCCTTAAAACAAACTAACAAAGCTAAACCGGTAGGTCATTTTTGGTGTCCTTTGAGGAAGGCAATGGTTAGTGAATTCTTTGTGTGGATCCATTGGTTTCTTAATCTTTCAAATCTATTCTAGTCATGTCCCTTTGGAAGAGTCCCGGTTAACCTTCTGAATAGCCCAGATTATCATGTGAAGACAGATGGTTCAGCTGTGCCAAATTTTTCAAAAAGGTATGTTTGAGTTTGGATTTTTAAATTTTGTTTATATTTAAAGACTGATGTCAGAACATCTTTTTTTTTTTTTTTTTTTTTTTTACTGAGTAGTAGTGATTATGGTTAGTTTATTTTTCTTTGTAGTTCTAGGGATTGCTTGAGCCTAGGGCCCTAGTCATGCTCAGAATGAGAAAAGAAATAGGATAAGTTAATGGACTGCTGAGTACAGTGGTGCAGACCTGTAACCCCAGCTAGCAGGGTGGTGAGCCAGGGGAATCTTTTAAATCAAGAGGTTGGGGTGGGGGTGGGGGGTTTACCCTGGGCAACATCGTAAGACTCCATCTTCAGGAATGAAATGTCGTTCATGGCATGTTGTATACGCCCCTACTCTCAGCTTTAGTGTTTGCTCCCATGTAAGAAATGTGAATATGCTGGATGTGTGGTGGGTGCTAGTAAGATTGAGAAACAACTATTTTAGTCGGTACCTTCCATAGTTGAGGCCTTGTTATATTTAGACTTTGAGTAAATGGTGATAGTTAAAAGGGTACCTGCATTCAAGGTACATATCCCTGTTTGTCTTGTGCCTCCATTTCAAATACCTAGTTGAAGCATGCAGGAGATTTTCTCCCACTCTAAAAATGTATTTTTTTTTAAATTCTCCCCATCCCTCAAGCTTTATTCAGCCATGTTTTGATACTTTTTACAGAAGACTGTATGCCAGATTATAGAGGTCCACATGTCAGCTCACTGTGTGTTCTTATCCTTGATCTGTGTGCAGTCTGAAAAGCCTACGTACTTTTCCTTTCCCACATTCTTATCTGAACTCCAGCTGTGACTTATTAGGTAATGAAGACATTGGCAATCACCTATCTCTTCATCAATTTTGTCATTGCCCAGCACCTAATTTTTAAGCATAGTCACCTTTGTTTTAGAATTATGTCACTCTTAAAGATGCCTCTTAAACAGATGCTTCCAATTCAAAGTGTGTAGTATCAAATATGTGTATTTAAAACCAATTTTCAAATGATGAAGCAATTTCAAGTTAACTGTTAAAATCCGTTTTTTCGTGGGTAATAGAAAGATATCCGGATCAGATTCCCGAGAATCAATTATTCCTGGATCCAAACCAAGTGGAAATGATTCCTGTGAATTGAGAACTTTAAAGGTATTTCAGTTTTAAGTGAATGTGAAGTAAAGGTTCCAGGTCTAAAAGTTATAAAGCTTTTTTAGGGAAAGGGTCTAGTGTTTATCTATCTCCAGTGTATTGGTGAAGCCACAGGAGGTTTGAGACCACCCTGGGAGGTGACACACAAGTCCTGGACTGTCGCTCAAACATTAAGTTGTTCGAGCAAGTGTCAACCATCTTTTAGAAGAACCATGAGGTACACTAATTAGGCATATGTTTAAGTGGATTAGTTGGCCTGGGTCTAGCAATCAACATGGAGCTATTCACCAGGTTTTGTTTATTACTGTGTTTTATCTTATGACTCAAAGCATCTTTAAAACCAGAGCCCATCTTGGTACAGAGGTGAGAGCATAAGTATCAAAGTTAATCTGCCCTGCTCCACCTTCGTTAACTTTACAAAGAAGTGACTGGCTCCAGATACAGTGATTTCTAGGGGTTTTAATATTCTTAGCATACTTGACTTAAATCCCTGGCATTGTGGTATAAATTTTCAGCATTGCAAGCTTTAATGGTCTTATGCTTTGAAATATTAATTTTCTCTATTTTTAGGGAACGGTACTTAATTATATAAAAAGATTACTCTCTGAATTTATAAAAACTACTGCATTGAGGTTATGCAAGTGCTAATTTTTATTAGTGCGGTTCCTTAGTGATACAGTAAAATCAGAGCAGGGGTTTTTGCTCAGTGGTAGAGCACTTTGCTGCTGTATGTGAGGCTCTGGGCTCATTTCCCAGCACTGCATAACCCATAAACACAAACTAAATAAAAAGTAAATAAATAACAAGATAATTATGTTTTCTCTTGTCATCAGACTTATTCTATGGTGGATATAAACCTTCTAACCCTTTCTTTGTTGGGTGAAATATAGTGTAATAATTAAGTAATATTAATATGTCCACTGAAAAAGCAAATTAACCAAGTTAACGGTTATGTCTGTTCTGATGTTTAATCAGTAATTGAGAAAATTAATATTTTCTGAGTTTGTGAACCTACTCAAATATGAGATAAAGTTTTACAGTCATTTCACATAGATAAGACTTTATTATATTGAACAGTAGGACAAATTAGAAGTACTGTTAATTATAATATTGTTATCTTACTTGAAATCTTTCTATGCTTTTTGTGTAGCCCATTCAAAGTGTCCATTTCAAAGACTCTCTGGTGTCCGGTGAAAAAAGTTCTGAGCTTATTTCTGATTTAGTAATCTTGAAGAGTAAAACTGAATCAAGTCTCCTAACAAAATTGGAAGGTAAGTTCTCATGTAACCAACCTTGATTAAACTCAGTGGGCTGTTACAAAAGAGGGACATGAAAGTCAGAGAGGGACTTGTTGGGAATAAAAAGCCTTTCAGTTGGGGAGAGAGAAAGATAAGAGAAGGTAACCATAGCATGAAAATGATTCATTCTATATATGTTTGAAAGTATCAAAGAATAAAGCACATAGATTGGGGAGATGGCTCTGTGGGTAAAGTGTTTGCCATGTATTCTTGAGGACTGAATCAGATCTCCAGAACCCACATCAAGCTGAATTTGGTAGTATAGGTCTTTAACTCCAGTGGTCCTATGGCAAGACGGAAGGCAGGGACAGGAGAATCCCCAGCAACTCATGGGCCATCTATTTTAATGTATACAACATGGAACAAGAAGAGACCCTGTACCTAACAAAATGGAAGGCAAACACTGGTACCTGAAGTTGTTCTCAGATTTGCATGTGTTCACAGATACCCAAGTGTGCACGTGTCATAACACACATGAGGGCACATAGCTTGAAAAAACAGATTAACAACCTATTTGTGGTACAAAACTCTGTCCTCCTTTATTTTCCATTTTAATTTTTTTACAGAGTGCATATTGAATCCTGTAGGGGAGGAAGCTATTTTTCTAGAGGGTGCGTAAAATGAAGAGAGATGGGAAAATATAATAGAAATAAAATAACCTAGTTATTTCTTTTAGTTGATTTGGCTGCTATTTTTATCAAAGGACATAAAAGCAACTTCTATATCACAGTCCAATCTCATTTTTATTTTAAATCATACTTTGATTTTCCACTATATAGATACTGTAATAAATGTTCTAGGGATCCAATAATTTTAGGAATGGGGTCCCAAAATTTCAAATCAATTATGGGGTGTATGTAGAATAGGTGATGCATAATGTGAATAAAATGTGCAGATTTTAGGAGAGATGCAAGTAAAACGCTATGAGAATTTAGGAGAAAGACAATTTTAGGAACCTAATTTGAATTAGGGAAAATATGGAAGAATATATGAAAGAGACGAAATTTGAAATCCCATTAGCATATAAGTGACAGCTCACGGTAATAGAGCTCAGGTACGAGAGAATAGGTTAGGCAGACAAATAGAACCTAAACAGGGCTGTCCAGTGAGGCTGAATTGAAGAGAGATGGGTAGAGTGGGCAGTAAGACTAGGTAACTTGAGTGACATGCTTACACTCCAAAGTAAGCAGCTGCTCTCAGGGAAGAGCAGGCTTACCAGGTGACTTTGAGTGTGTTCTAATGCTTTTCTGAATCTGTGGTAAGAGCTGAGGATAATATTTTAATGTTCATGGGAAGCCCAGAGTCCAGTCAGAGGTTTCAGTGTTTTCCTCTCCCCTTGTCGTAGAGCTGAGGAGGGACTTTGGAGACAAGTGGGACTTGCCCTGATGTTTGCCTGGTGCTTTCATGGTTTTTAATACTGGAAGTCCAATGTCCCAGGTACTGTAGCCTGTGAGACCAGCTCCCTGGGCTGTACCCAGGATTGCAGAAAAGAATGTCTGCGGAGCAGCAGGGATTTAGAAAAATGTCCTGTCTATCTGAAGGAAAAGACACATCCACAATCTGAGGGTCAAGCACTTTATTCTTTCCAGTTCTCCTTCAGTTCCTGTTTTCTCATTCTGATTCTTCCCTAGCTCCTTCGTTCACATAGCTTATATATGTACACGTTCAACAACAAACTTCTTTCAATATAAAAGGCTACAAAAGCTGCATCTGAGGGAAGTTAGAAACCATGGCAACACCCAGCTTCAGGGTTCCTGGTGCAGAGGCTATGACCTGAGGCCAGGGGCATAGTGCCCAGTAAGACAAGCTGCTGAGGAATTTGTGCAGGGAATGGGTCCTTTATCAGCCAGGCTTGGTGAGAGAAATTGGCATAGTATTTTAGGTTGCTTTGTGCTAATAACCTGTAGACACCTGTAATTCTGTCCTTGTGCATATCTGTAAAGTGTTTAACTTACAATCTGTTTACAGAGAGTCTAGTTTGAAATTGTTCTGAGGTATTAAATCAGCTAAATATGTGTAGCTTGTCTTAGACTGGGGAGAAACTGTTTTCTCATGTTAGTCTGGGTAATGAAACAAAACAGGCTTCTAAGTGTCTTACAGTCCTGGTGGAACAGTAGATCTAGTTATGAAGCATATCCTGGTGTATTTCTGTTCATCAAAATTATATAGCTTAATGAGAAGTCATCTGACTTTTCACAGATATACATGCCCATAAGATTGAGATGTAGTCATGAAGTTAACATGTAAAATTACATAAAAATGCACGGTAATGGGGAGATTCCACAGCTATTTTTGCACATGTGATTTTATAGACAGAAGCAGCTGGGGTTCTCTCCATCAGAGAATAATTCGTCTATCGGGTGACATCTGAATTACCAGTTGCCATCTGCCGTATTAGAGTCATGGCCCGCAACAGCTCATGGCTCCCAGGAGAGCCTCTGTCCCAAGCAGTGTTTCATCCTTAGAGCAGTCTTCTCATTCTTTGCCTTGAGTTGATTGGGAACAGATTCCTAGCCTTGCTCTTTGTTTGAAGCTATATCTCATATTTTCTTGTCTTTTGATACCATTGGGAAAATCATCTTCATCAGATAGGCCTGCTCATTTGGTAGCTAATTTGATGAAATGGAATTCTGAATTTCTGTGCATTCTTCCTTACCAGTCTTTGTTCTTGTACTTTCTTTTATTTTAAACAAGGTCTATGCAGTATCCTAAACTTATTTACAGATTTTAGGTAATCATTTTCATATTTGATTCAATTTTGCTTGAATTTAATATGAACGTGAATGCATATGTATAAGATAAAGTGTAAAGATTTGTTCTTGATTTTTCTCATACAAATGTCAGTTTGACCCAGAGCTATTTTGAATACCCTCTCTTCTCTGTCTGGAAACTTAGGTGATTGTATGTTGGTGTGTGGTTTCGGATTTTTGTCTTTGTTTCATAGTTACTTTGTCTTTATTATAGTGAGTCTTGATGTCTGTTAGTGCTAGTGTGATGTTTTCGTTGTTTTCTTTAGGATTGTTTCAGTTCTTATTAGCATTTTGAATTTCCATGAAAATACTAGGAGTTATGCATTAGTACCCATCCTTTGAAAAATGGAAGTTTGATTGAGAAGCAGTTGAACCTGTAAAGATTTTAGAGATCTATTGTCCTCTTCCTTCATCAGCTTTTCACTTACTACATACACTGAGAGAGCTGTGTTCTCTAGAGCTCTTGTATATGCTGTGGTGAACCTATCCCTAACCCCTAGGAAAGCTGATATCTTTTGCTTTGCAAAGTTTTCGTGTTCAACTTTATTATTGGTATACAAAATTAATTTTTTTAATGTAGATATACTGCCATTTCTACATTCACTGAACAAGTCTAATAATTTCCCTATGTATTCTTTAGGAGTCTTGTATTTATACTTGTCTGTTTTATTTGTTCTTTTCTGAGACAAAGTCTCATGCTAGGCTGTGTAGCTTCAAACTCTTAATTCTCCTGCCTCCACCTACTAAGGGCTGAAATTATAGGCATGTGTCAGTGCTTAGTTTGTGGGGTTTTGTAGGTACACAATCATCTTTGAAAATAAGTAACTTTTTTTTCTGATCCTTTTCATTTTCTTGGTTATTTTGCAGCATCTAAGAGGTCCAGTTTATTATTGCTAGGAGAGATAAATTTTTTGTCTCTATTGTAAGGGGACATTTTTAGTATTTTAACTCTTGAAATTATAGCTGTCATAGATTTTGATTGTTGTTTATTATCTAATCCTGTAAGCTCTATTTTAGATGTAGATTACTAATATTTTTTTTGTATGTGTGTGGTTCAACATTGATTTTATTAAAGGACCTTTTGTTGAGTTAGTCATATTTCTTTTTGATTATAGCAAGGTACACTGATTTTTTGGGAGGTATTTAGCAAGCAGCATTTAGGAATGAATTATATTTTGATATAATTTATTAGGTCATTCATTAATTGTTAATATTTTGCTTAGAGCTTAGAATTTTGGTATTCATTGAATTGTGAAGATGTTATTGGCATTTTTGTTTTTAGGCCTTTAAGACAGTCAATTAGAAGCTAGTAAAATAAAATCTGTATTAAAATGGAGGTCTAAGAACAGTAGTTTGTTAGTTTCTCTTTATTAGTAAGACTTTAATATGCACACTTAAAAATTTTAATTTATTTATTAAAAAGCAGAAAAGCAGATTTATTTATTAAATCTGGTATGGTTTCCAATTAAACTTTCAAAACTACTTAGGGAAGTTACTGCCTTGCAGTTTTTGTAAACCTGACCCCTTCTTTCCTCCCTTTTCCCCTTTTTTGTTTTTGTTTGTTTGTTTGTTTTGTTTTTTCCAGAATGAAAATGAAGCATAGTTTATATCACCTTATTGCTTGCACTTACTTATGTATTTGGGGTTTATTTTGTTTTATTTTGAGATGGGGTCTTGGTGTACTGCCCAAGGTGGTTTCAAACTGTCAGGGTCCGATGCCCCTCTCTGGACCGGGGTGGAGGAGCAGGAATAGTTGAGACACAGTTCACACAGCAATATGGGAAGGGAGTCTCAGGCTTTATTCATTCCTGAGGATCACCTGCGTTTATTTTTCAAACACCTTTTTCTTTTTTCTTTTTTCTTTTTTTTTTTTTTTTTTTTTTTTTTTTTTTTTTTTTTTTTTTTTTTTTTTTTACCCAAATTCATTTTTTTTTTTTTTTTTTTTTTTTTTTTTGGACAAGGTTTCTCTGTAGCTTTGCCGCCTGTCCTGGAACTAGCTCTTGTAGACCAGGCTGGCCTCGAACTTACAGAGATCCGCCTGCCTCTGCCTCCTAGTGCTGGTTAAAGGCATGAGCCATCACCGCCCGGAAAAGATGGCTTATTTTTTTAAGGGATTACTGCATTAAACCCTCTATGTGGGTTTCACACCCATGGATTTAACCAACTGTAGATGAACTTTTTTTTACTTGCATCTGTATTGAACAGACTTTTCTTGTCAATATTCCCTAAATAATGTTGTATAACACCTATTCATATCATATCTATATTGAATCAGGTGTTACAATGATGTAGAGACCATTTTAAACTATTCTGGAAGGTGGACGTGGTGGCGTACGCCTTTAATCCCAGCACTCTGGAGGCAGGGGCGTTGGGTATCAGGCAGGAAGCCTAGCCAAGCTATTCTAAACGCAGCACCCCAGGGAGGGAGGAGGTCAGGAGCGCAGAGCGCAGCCTGGGCAGTCAAGGCGGGAGGGGCATCAGAATCCTAAGAAAGGGCAGGATGGGCTTTGGGGTGAAGACGAGGCCGAGGCTCCCTGGAGGGTGTTGGAAGGGCCTGCGGGGGAGCGCCAAAGCCCCTGACTCCAGGCCGATGGACCCAGGCCAGAGGTGAGAGGCGGCGAACGGCCAGCCCGGGCAGACGGGGTTAATTCCCCCGGACATTTGCAGGTGGGTGCGCCGGGCCTCCACGCAGGAGGCGGCGCAGCGCACGGAACCAATCACGACCGGCGTTGCCACGTGATGAGCCGTAACCAATCGGAGGTGGCGTCGAAGTCAGCGGGGAAATTCAAACGTGGCTCCGGAGAGGAGTTGGGGCTCGGCAGTTTGCGTCTTTGCTCGGCCTCCCGAGGTGAGTGCAGCGGAGCGGGCGTTGCGGAGCGGCTGCGACCCGGGAGGCTGCGGGGCGGTGATGGCGACGGGCGCTGGGGACCCGGGCCGGCCGAGCGGGAGCGCTGGGCGGCGGTGCGAGCTGCAGGACCCGGGGCTGGGAGTGGGAAGCGGGGCCCGGAAGTGGGTGGGAAGCGGGCGGGACTGGGTGCGCACCCCTCAGAACCTGCTTCTGCTGGCTGGGAGCTGGGAGGAGGTGGTGGGCCCCTTGCTGCCTTTCTCGCCTCATTTCTGCCATGGGCTTGAGTTACTGCGTTGTGGAGAATCGGTAATGGAAGAAAGACTGCTAACCAGTTAAAAACATCTTCGCTCGAGTCATCGTTAGGAGAGAATTTTATTTTAAAAGTATCATCTTAAACTGCAAGGATGTCTGTTAAACATCACAATTAAACATGCCAAAGGAGAAGCCATGTTGTCACAATGCCCACTTACCCCCCCCAGACACCTCAAACCCACCCTTGCTGACCTTCTAACCTCCCCCCCCCTTTTTTTTTTTTATTAAACAAGAGNAGAAACTAAAGTACGTCAAGAATCAGAGATTGCAGAAAGAAAGCACAAACCATGGCAGTCCACAAGAAAGTCTGAGAGTGTGAGCCAGAACCAGTGGCACATTCCGGATGTTACCCCTAAGACTCAGAAAGAGGTAATGTGTTCCCTTAAAGGACATACTGTCTTTAGTAATACCTGTCTGAAGCTTGGTGGCAATGTGGGGTACTGCGTCTTAAAGTGTTTATGCCATATTTAGTGGAATCACTTGTTTACAAGATGTTATTTTTTCAGAATACTGTACACCTATAGGTTCAGTAAGAGTACATGTCAGGATAAGTTCTGGTTTTGTCAGTTTACTACTAGACTTGTAGTTTTGTTAGTTTTTTGTATGTGTGGGTATGTGCCTGTAAATGCAGGTTTATTTTTTTAAATATTTATTTATTTATTATGTATACAACATTCTGCCTCCATGTATGCCTGCACGCCAGAAAAGAGTGACAGATCTCATTACAGATGGTTGTGAGCCGCCATGTGGTTGCTAGGAATTGAACTCATGACCTCTGGAAGAGTAGTTAGTGCTCTTAACCTCTGAGCCATCTCTCCAGCCCCCTAAATGCAGGTTTTCATGAAAGCTAGAGCCATTGGATCTTCCCGGAGATCTCTGTGAGCTCCAGTCTAGCCAGGGCTACATACTGAGACTGTCTAGAACAGTGGTTCTCAGCCTTCCTGGTGCTGTTCCTCATGCTGTGGTGACCCCTGACCATTAAAGTATTTCATTGCCACTTCATAACTGTAATTTTGCTACTGTTATGAGTCGCAGTGTAGATATTTTGAAAATAGAGGTTTGTCAAAGGGATCGTGACCCACAAATTAAGAAGACCGGTCCACAACAAAACTAATACTGGGCTCTGGATCATTACAAAAGCCAGCAGCTTCCTAATTTCTCCTGGCTTCTACACCCATCCCATATATCATCTGTCTTCACATTCGTAACTCCTCTCTAATGATCATTCCTTCATGGCAGCCACATACACTTGCGTGCTCACTACCTTACTTCCAAAATACCAAGGGCATGCAGCCCACTGCATCACTGTCTATAACATTCCATTGCTCAGTAACTTACACGAGCAGTTTCTTCCTCACATACTCATCACTAATCCCAGCGTACATGTCCGCACTCCTGTTTATACACGAGGAGGTCTTAAACAAAGGTGAAAATATTCCAAGAAGAGAGGTCTTTTAGCCATTTTTAAAGTTAAAAGGACTCCATTACAAAAAGTAGAATAGATTTATCCATTGTGATTCTTCTATAATGAGGTGTCAAGGTCTAAAACTAATCAGTGCAATCTAGTGCAAATACTTTCTAAAAACTAAAACTGTCCCCAAATTGAAGTTCATCTCCTTAGGTAAAAGAACATTTTATAAAATTTTAACACTTAATAGTTCTGATACAATGAAGATGCTGGGTCTTGTTTTGTTAAGTAATGTGTGCCTTTCTGACATATAACCAGTTTGAATAGAGTATATTAGGATTAAGAGTTTGGAATAAAAGAATGTAATAAAATTTAACTAGAGATTGGGTGGGCCGTAGCTTAGTCAGTACTTGCTGCACAAGTGTGGGGCCCTGAGTTTGATCCTGGTGTCAATGTAAAGCACGTGGGGTGGTGGCATGTGCTTTAGGGAGATGGAGACAGGTGGGGCCTAGGACCTGAGGCTCGTAGATTAGCCTAGGCCTTGGGTCCTAGATCGAGACTTTGTCTCAGAACACAAAGTGCTTGACATCTGAAGAACACTCAAGTTGACCAATGAGCTCTATCTGTACATGTGCATGAACTCCTGCATATATGTACATGAACATACACATATGCCCACCTGTTTTATCATGATTTGGTTTTCATATTTTTACAATTATAAAGGTTTTATTTGTTAAGCTGTTATCTCATTGTCTAATTTGAAAACTCTTAAGTAATGGAATTTTTCTTTTAGCAGAAGTGTCCCACTGTTGAGCAGCTTGCCTTACCAGTTTCAAAGCAGTCGCCTCCGATGTCAGTTCCTAAATGGATTGATCCAAAGTCTGTCTGTGTGACACCCAGTAGTAATTCCACGGATGATTACATGAGCTGGTAATTACCTTTGCATCAAGCTCAGAATGCAAGGTCGTAAAGAGAAATAAGACACGATTTGGAACCAAACTGAACTTGCTTGAACCTGCTTTCTTATTTTAGACACTTTGAAATTACTCTTTTTCTCAACATCACTTTTTGTCACCTATAAAATGCAAACAGGAAAGTGGTTATGGTTACACGTGTATTATCTTTTTTTAAGATTTATTTAATTTTATTTTATGTGGATTGGTGTGAAGGTATCAGATCCCAGAAACTGGAGTTACAGACAGTTGTTAGCTGTCATGTGGGTGCTGGGAATTGAACACGGGTCCTTTGGAAGAACAGACAGTGCTCTTAACCTCTGAGCCATCTCTCCAGCCCCCACGTGTATTATCTTGATTTATAATAATTCTGGATTTTTTTTTTTTGGTTTGGTTTGGCTTGGTTTTTGTTGTTGTTGTTGTTGATTTTTTTTGTTTGTTTTTGTTGTTGTTGTTGTTTTTTTTCCCGAGACAGGGTTTCTCTGTGGCTTTGGAGCCTATCCTGGAACTAGCTCTTGTAGACCAGGCGGGCCTTGAACTCACAGAGATCCGCCTGCCTCTGCCTCCCAAGTGCTGGGATTAAAGGCGTGTGCCACCACCTCCCGGCTGTTGTTGATTTTTCAAGGCAAGATTTCTGTGTAGCTTTGGAAAATGTCCTAGAACTCAATCTATAGGCCAGGCTGGCCTCGAACTCACAGAGATCCACCTGCCTCTGCCACCTGAGTGCTGGGATTAAAGGCGTGAGCCACCAAATGATTCTGCTTTTAAGAACTGTTGTAGAGGTAGTCTATATGATAGTGTAGTATTTGTTAGAGGTTGGAAATCTTCTGAGTACACAGTCTCTTTTCACATGGATGGCTTTCTGATTGAGACCATGTTTTACACGAAGTTTAGCATTCTTAGAATGGATAAAGGGATAAATATTTCTGTAGGGAGTGGTGATTGGAATAGGATGGCTCCTGAAAGAGGTCAGGTGTATAATTTACATGGTTTGGAGAGTACTCAAAGATGCAGGCCTTGGGAATGAGGGATGTGTTAGGATATTGGATGGTCAGAGCTGATGAAAAGGGGAAATAAAGGTTTTGCAACAGAAAATGGATGGCATTTCAGAGAAAAGAAATAGCCTTCAACTGTTGGCTATGTTTTTAAGGGATAACAAAATTCTACGATAAAAGCCTTTGACTTTTTATTTTTAGAATGTTATTTTTTTATCCTAATTGGAACTGTCCTTCTTATAACCAGTTTCTTATCTATGTAATACAATTTTATTATTGCCTCATTTTATTTCGTGTAGGACATTTCAAAGAATGATTGCTAGCTAAAATAATAATGCATTTCTTAAGATGTGTGTGTGTGTGTGTGTGTGTGTGTGTGTGTGTGTGCTGTGTCGCATATGTATGCACAGTTGCACGTACATGTGCCTGTAGGCCAGAGTGGGATGGCACTCTCTACCTTATTCCCTATAGATGGGATCTTTCATGGAACCTGGGGCTAGACTGGGAGCTAGCAAGCCTTAGTAGTATTTGTGCCTCTAGCCCTCACACTTTAGGGTTACGGTCCTGCACATAGCCATGCCCAACTTTTCACGTGGTGTTGGTGATTCTGACTCAGGTCCTTGTGCTTGCACAGCCTTACCCTCTGAGCCATCTTTCCAGCCCCAAATTATTTATTGTTCATATTTTTAGAATTCTTTTGTACCAATTACTGTTACCGATATTGGAGATATAACAGCAAACAAAGGAACAAAGTGTGGGTGTGGTGCTGAACAGACACACAAGCTGGAAGACCAAACACCTTTGGTAATATAACTGGCTCTCAGATATTTCCAGCAGGCTGTCATAGACCATTACTATTTAAAACAAGTTCTAAAATCTGTGGTCAGACCTTTGCCTTAACTAAACTATTATAGAATTCTCCTTACTCCTTATTTTTAATTCCATTTTGCTTATTTTATTAACAAGGATTTCTTTTTAGGGGATGAAAATTGATTTCAGAATAATTTCCACCAAATTAAATGTCTGGTGGTGATATAAGTAGAATATAAATATTAGCTATTATGAAAAGTAGGTAATGTGCCATAAATAGAAAATATAAATATTGGCTCTTATGAAAAAAAGCTAGCTAATATGGCAATTTTAGGTTTATGTGACTTTTTAGAGTATATAAAGACTTAAAATTATCCTTTTAACTTAATATTTTTATATTAAACAAAATAAAAATCTTCTCCAGTTTTAGGACTCCAGTTGTGAAGAAGGACTTTCTGCCTGCCTGCCCATTATTGACACCTTACAGCCAGCCTGCCTGCCTGCAACAGCAGCAGCAGCAGCAGCAGCAGCAGCAGCACCAACAGCAGCAAGGACTGAGTACCCCTCTTCAAAACTTACAGGTTTGATGAGCATGCTCTGTGGTGACATGTGTTAAGGTGCAGTCACTTTCATAGCTTTTGCTTTCACAGTATCAAGGTCTTGAGAAACGTCTTTAGAACCTGTCCATTCTTAGGAAACTCTTTGTCTCTTGATTAGAGTGTCTCCCACCTATTCTTGGGGAGTAGGCCAAGGATCCAGTTTGTGTAGTCTGGTAAAACTTGTCTTATGATGGAACTTACTTTCTATTTGTGAGTAGCTTTGTTTCCATTGTTAATATGCTATTCATTTGGAAAAGTGAATTTTCTGAATAATCAGTATAGCAGTGTGAGGTACTTAGAATGTATTATAATTGTTGTAAACTAACAAAGATTTTGCTTATATGTGATTTACCATTTGACAACAAAACAAGGTACCAAGTTACTGAAATTACTGTATAGTACCTGTGAACGCAGTGTAAACATGGGTCTTTTAGAGAGGCTTCATGGAGGTGATTCTTGGCTGTGTGATTCACCAGCTGTGTGATCTTTGGCAGGTTACATGAGCTCTTTGTACCCATTTCATCATGTAACAAATGGAGAAATCACACTGCCTGCTGCTAGAATGGTTGTTAAGGTTACGTTAATTACATGTGTAACTCCTAAAGCAGAGCATGGAGGACCCGACACTTAAAGTTAATAAACATTAGCTTATATTGTTTAAGTGAGACAGCCAGAAGAGTGATCATCTATTAAAACTAATTGGTTAAAAATAATTGACAGAAAGTAGAAAAGTAGTTACATTCCTTGGAGGGAGGAATTGGGGAATTCTTAAAGAGCAATGGGTATAGAGTTTCAGTATTTGATGACAAAAAATTCTGGAGATGGACAGTGGTGATGTTTCCACAATGACTACTGTTTCTATACCACTGAATTGTACTTAAAACTGGTTACAAAGGCAACTGTTGGGTTAAGTATATTTTGCCACTATTAACAAAAATGACCAAAAGATTACCTGATGATCAATTATATAATATTAGCTATAGAAAGACTTGATAGTGTCTGCTGTCTTGAACTTATATAAGTTACAAAATAAAACGAAAGCCTAACATGGTGGCATATGTCCTCAGGACATAGGCAACAGGATCCCTGTGAGTTTGAGACCAGCCTGATCGTCATAGAAGGTTCCAGTACATCCAGGATTACATAGGAAGACCCTTTCTCCAGGGGGAGAGGGAGAGATTTATGTTGGTTCAGGTCTGTTTATTGACCTGTTAGTGGTAACAGGTCCTGTTCTATCTAAAATCTGGAAGGCAATTCAGAAGTGATTGGGAAGGGGGCTTGGAGAATGTTCTAGAGGGACTTCAAAAGGAGTCAGGTGTGACTTACAGATTGGGGAAGGAAAGTGGTGCTGGAGGTTTTCCTGGGCTTTAAAAGTTGTAGATAGCATAGCGAAACAGAGTGAACTTACCTAATTAGTAGTTTGCAAGCTTCTGGCCTGATGAGGAGAGGTAGGTAGGGATGAGGAGACTTATAGAGGAAGATGCTGGTGATGAAGTAGAGTTCACTGGTGTCACTGTATTCTGAAAAGTGTACACAGCAGCGGCAAGAATGTCAAGGTAATTATTGTCTAAGAAATGCTGTTCAAGGAGAAACAAGGAGAACGCTTGGGAGACTGCTCTGACTTAAGACTCAAGTCCTGAGAATAAAGAAATTAAATCTTTCTGTTAGCTTCTAAAGGAAACTTCATGGAAGATCCTGTCATTTTGAATTTAAAAACATGGCTCAGCTAAACTGAAGTTTATTCAGACTTTAATTGATTCAGTTTAGTTACTTTGGTAATTACAAACTGCATTTCCCTTACTATCTCAAGTGGTCTCTTAGCACGCCGTCTCTTTTAAAATCTCTATAAGCACAAAGCAAGACTGTCCAGTCCAAGAAGGACGGAAAGGGCACTGCTGTTAGTAGATTGCCTGGGAAGATGCTGACGTTTGGAGAAATTACATAACTTCTTGAACTGCTCTCAGGACAGAAGAGAGGGACAGGCGTGGATAAAATGTCACTGTCTAATTGACTGGAGCTGACTGCACCTTAGCACATTGCTTTTATATAAAGTTAAATGGGAGGGTAACTGCCTGCTTGTGGAGACACAGGGAAAAGAAATAGAGAAAGATGAAATGTTTCTGCTCAGATTAAGTAAAAATCAGTTAAAGAGGGATCACTTTTAGAGGTTTGTCTCTGAACAAATTTAACATATTTTTCTTATTCACCTTTTACAGCTTTTGTTGTTTTAGATTCTTTTTGAGGCAGTCTTTTGTAGCTCAGGCTTGCCAAAATTGGGAGCATTCCACTATACCTAATGCAAACTAGTGTCTTAGATATGTTCTTTGAACTTATATTTACATATTTTAATTGTTTAGGTTTCAGGATCCTCAACAGTAAATGAATGCATTTCTGTTAAAGGAAGAATTTATTCCATACTAAAACAGATAGGCAGTGGAGGTTCCAGTAAGGTAAGTAACAAATAAAATAAAAACACTCTGTCTTTTCAAGTATGGGAGCAGTTTTATTTTCTAGAAGCCCTTGTTTCCCTGGAGCCAGAAAAGCTGCCTCATATCCTCCCCTCCTTCCTGTAAAGTAAGTTACCCTCTTTAGACCTAAAACTGGATCTGTCTCATGCCTTTTCTTCAGTGTCCTGTGCTTTCAGATTTCTTCTGTATCACCTTGACATTGGCTGGCAGTGGCAGTAACCACTATGTATGATCACAGGGAGACTATAATTGAGGACATGACATGATCTGCGGGTGTGCATAGAGTCATTCAGTAAAAATTTTCAGTAGTGAATTTGTTTTATTTGAGGTTCCCATTTTACGATGCTCTAGTCACATAAACTTCTGCAATTAGATTATTTCCTAAATTTATCTGAGTGATTTATTTTTAAATGTATTTTTATTTTTTAGATTAGTGTGCAAGATATTAGATAGCATTATCACCTTCCATTTCCATCCATTTTCCTACGGGTTTGATTTTTCTATATAGCTAAATGAAATCTCATTATGAATTTATATTTTTCATTATCCATTCAATTGTGGATGAACATTTACTGGTTTCATTTCTTGCTGTTGTGAATAGAATGGCAATTAGCATGGATATACAGTGTCTGTGTTGTAGGATATGGAGTCTTGAAACATATGCCTACAAAGGATATTGTAGTATGAATTCTAATCATTCTTAATAAAAACCCAGAGTCAGATAATAGGGAGTGAAGGCTAAGAGATCAGAGAAGCAGAAGAGCCAGCCACTAGAGAAACCTTTTACCTCTACCAATGCTCAGACCAAAGGGGCTATCCTGTCCTCAGACTGCCTCCTCAGGCTTTGTCCTGAGTTCAGGGTGGCCTTGAACTAATAAAGATCCCTCTGCTTCTGTCTGGGATTAAAGGTGTGTGCCACTAAGGTCTCTAGTGCCTTAACTCTGCACTCTGATCTTCAGGAAAGCTTTATTTGTTAAAACGCATACAAAAATATCACTACATTTCCCCTTTTTTGTCTAAAAAAAAAAGGCTATACTAACATAAGAAAAATGAAGCACGATTAAAACTCAGAGACAGAAATTGGGGTTCTATCTGAAGGTTAGAAAAGCAAAACAGCCAGCCATTGGCTTTTACCTCTACCTGAGTCTGAGATGATGATCCTGCCTCCAGGAATCTCAGAAAGAGGCTGAGATTATGAGCTGTCTCCTCCTGTTTTATATTCTTTAGGGCTGGGTTAAAGGCATGCATTTGGATGTTCACCTTCCTAGACATGGACGGAGGGGGGAGGACCTTGGACTTTCCACAGGGCAGGGAACCATGACTGCTCTTTGGATTGGAGAGGGAGGGGGAGAGGAGTGGGGGGAGGGGGAGAAGAGTGGGGGGAGGGGAGGGAAATGGGAGGCTGGGAGGAGGCGGAAACTTTTTTTTTCCTATTCTCAATTAAAAAAAAAGAAAAAAAAGGCATGCATTGCCTAGTTTCTATAGCAAGTGGTGTGGACTACTGGAATTAAAGATGTGTGTTACCACTGCCTGGTCTGTAAAGCTGACCAGTGGGGCTGTTTTACTCTCTGATCTTCAGGCAGGCTTTATTTATTAAAATACAAATAAAATGCCACTACAGAAAAACTATATATAATAAACATAATAACTATACATAATATGTACAAACGATAAGCACATCAACAATGTCTAGTTCATTTACATTTGACAAATTTGGAGAAAATACTCCATTATCCTATCTTGGTGAGTCCAAAATGTTGTAGCTAATTCACTTTCTATCTTACTTGAATTACCATCCAAAACTATCTTTTGATGTCTCTCAGTCTTATATGCTTTGCATTTCTTTACTGAATTTCTCTTCTGAGTCTGTTAAGCAAGGAAAACCATATATATCTAGTCTTCAACTCCCTCAGAGACCCGAGAAGAAAATAATATTAACTGAGTAAGCAGGAAGTGCAAGCAAGTAACTTCTAAAAAAATGTGAGAAATAACAAATATCTGGCTGCCTGGACAGTCACCCAAAATTCCCCTGTAACATTGGGACATCTTCAGCCTCACTGCCTAGAATATTTGACACACTTTTCTATGAAACAGGACTTTTGAAGGACTGTCTCACTTGGTTTGACAAGGCTTATCAGTCATCCTCTTCTGTGTCCTGTTTCTCCAATTAGGACAACATACTGTCAGCAGTCGAGGCAAGGTCACTTTCTTGCCCAGTCACTTACTTTTGCCACAAAGACAGTAAACTCCATGTGAAGTTTCTTTGATGTCCATCATCTTCTCTGAAGTAGATTGGTACTGCCAGGAGCAGATCTGTTTTGTTGTCATAAATAAAAGAACCCTATTAGAAAATCTTAAATGCTATATTCTGTAGATCACTGAAGTATTGAAGACTATTTACAATATATCTCTGTTTGATCTTTAAAACATACCTAATATGACTACAGGTTTAATTGTAATAGGTGACTAATTACTATCCTATATTTCCTTATTATCCTAAACAGTTGGTAATAATAACTTCCAAGAATTAGAAATTTGCATTACATTGTTTAGAATGAGCTGTATAGGTACAATACCTTGAGCACGAGTAGAAATGTGTGTAGACGTTTTAACAAAATGAATCTCAAATTTGTATCAATATACATAATTTGTATGCAATATACAAAAGTCCAATCCAATGTAAAACATTTAAAACTAGTAGTTGCTTTTTAAAAGTAGATTCAATAATCTACCTTTTTATCTTATATCAATAGCCACCTTTTTTTCCCAGAGTAGATTGATAATCTACCCTTTTAGTCTATTATATCTGTATCCCTTTTTTTTTCTTTCAAAACAAGAACCCTGAATCTAATCTCCCTTATTTAGCTTTTTTTCCTGACCATTACCAATAACAACTTGTAACCAACCCCCTTAAACAGTGACAAATATCCATAACCCAATGAAAAACCAAAAACCACCCACTCCACCTCTTAGGAATGTAGATAGCGTGTTCTTAAATTTCCTTCCTGCTGACTGGGGGTGATGGCATCTTTAAGAGATCCTGAAAAGAAAACTCGGGGTAATTGTCAAGTCCTGGGAGAGATAGCTGTATCATTTGTTGTCCAGTCTCTGTGTAATGGAAAAGTGCAGGGCTTGTCTCAGGTCCTCTCTAGAGTAGTGTGTTAGGCTGGATCATCTCAAGTAGTCACCACAAAATTGTTCTAAGCAGTTTGTAGTCCAGAGTCGATCTTTAGGTGATCTTTTCAGTTTAATGGTAGTATCATAGTCCTGGAGGAATCTTCATTGTGGGATCCCATCATCTTTTTGGAGACTTCAGAGATGGCAGTATGTCAGGTTATTCTTTTTCTTGGTAATTTCTTTCTTGGTACTTCTCCCTTTTTCTTTTCATACTTATTTGTCCAAAGGTCTTTAAATTCCTCAAGATGTTAGTTATTATTTTCCTGTAAAGACAAAAACAAAACCCTGCCCCAACCCTAACTTTGGGGTTTAATCTAATCTTTATCAATTTTGATTCATAGTTTCTTCTGAAATTTTTATCTTCTAAAGCTCTTCTGTCATCCAGAGCAGTATGGTTTCTTACAATAGGCGTTACGTTTTTTAATTGCTCTGGGAAGAAGTTTCCTTCATGATGACAGGAAATAGCCAAACCGAATTTGGCATGGGGGGGTATGGTGGGCTGTGACAGGCCCATCAAGGCATTTCCCAGTTTTTAGGGGTAATTCTATTACAAGTTGACCATGAGTTTAACATTTGATTCATAAAAGGTGAATCCATGCATTTTCCTTCAATCTCCTTAAGTCTACCATTGCCACAGGAGTCCAGACATTCAGCTCTTACAGAGTCTTTGGGATATCTATCATTTGGCAATTCCCGTAAGGATACTGGATATTTAAGGTTTGTTGTTGGAAAACCTTAGGCTGTTCCTCTCAAACCTTATAATGCAATGCTGAAATTGGTTCTTCATTAAATTCTTCTGCCTGGATTTGAATATCTCTGTGATCTGTTTTATTAAGTTTTCTAAGACCGGTATCTTGGCATTCATGCCAAACAACTTTTTAAGAGATAAATCAAGAATTATCAAAATGGCAATAAGGATTATCAAGATGATAATTAACAGTATGTCAATCCTGGTTGATTATCCTTCCATTTAATTGTTCCATTTTTAAATCATGCATTGTGTAATCATACAAGCTATAGGATTTTTATCATGAAGCCATGGTGAACTTTGCCAAATGCCTTTTCTGCATCTGTTGAGATGATCATATGGTTTCTGTCTTTATTACATTTATTAATATGTATATGTGGAGCCAATCTCCAGGATGAATCCCACTTAGTTGTGACATTTGATCTTTTAAATGTGCTTTGAGGCTTTGTTGCTGTTGAGAATGTTTACGTCTATATTCATTAAGGAAATTGGTTTGTTTTTCTTTCTTTTTTTCTTTTGTCTCTGTCTGGATTTGGTATCAGAATAACACTGACCTTGTATACTGAATTTGGTGCTGTTTTCTACTTTGTGAAATAGTTGAAAAAGTGTTGGTATTAGCTCTTCTTTTAAAATTTGATAGAATTCAGTGAACACATCTGGTCCTAGACTTTTGTTTGAGAGGAAGTTTTAGATCACAGTTTCAGTCTTATTGCTTGTAATCTTGTTTAGTAATGATACTTCTTGGTATAATTTTTATCTGATTGAACATTTGATCCCATTATTTGTTTGGTTCCTTTTCAATGTTTCAGTTCCATGTTGGTGTTTTTCCATATCTTGTCCTTTCTCCCCCTCTTTACTGTTTTGTTCACTTTGGAGATTGTCTTTTGGGGTCTTGGGTTGATTTCCTAAGACCATGCACATGCCTGTTTGAGTCTTTGGTCTAGTCATTAATTCATTTCAAAAGTAGGGCTCTTAATTATTTCAGTCTCGTGATAACATTTTCTTCTCGGACTACTTGGCGCTGTGAGCTCTGTTCTCATCTGCCTGAGCAATGAGGAGCGCATGGTGAGTGCTGTCTTTATAGACCATGGTTCTCGCCCACTGCAGTCATCTCTGCCTTTGACACTCCCCACAGAGATCATTGGAGCTTTCGTTAAAACTGGTTCTGTGCTTTGATCTTTAGGTTTCTTAGTAGACAGTTGGGGTTTGTTTTTATTGTAGTTGTTCTCTTTGGCGAGCACACACACACACACACACACACACACACACACGCAGCCCTGTATTTATTCTCTCACATTGATGCATCTTTCTCAGTCTTCCTGAACCTTAGGTACGAAGCCTCAGGACTTAGGCTTTCATCACTTTCCTTCTCTCTGAACTCAGGCTTCCTTTGGTGTTTTCCTCCAGGGTGGTGATTGTAAGTGCTGTGTTTGTGCTTACAGCTTCCAGACTTGTATTTCCAGTTCAGGCCTCTCATTTCCAGACTAACTTTCCACACTTGACTGCTCAGCATCTCTTCTTTGTTACCAGGTGTTTAAGACAGTTGTGTAAACACTCAATCTCTAGTTTTTCCAGTTGTAGTAAATAGCAGTTCTATTCTTACAATTACTTAGCTAAAAACCTATTGACTACTCTTATTATCATATATACAACTAGCTTGTCAGCAAGCCATGCTCTCTTTCCTACCTCTTGAGTAGCTTCAAAATCTACTTTTTATTGGTGTTGTTAGTTTGTTATCTTTTTGCTTAGTTTATTACAATAAATAATAATTTTACTCACTCAGTCTTTGTTCTTCTGATCTGGCCTATATCTTTTCTCCTTTTCTTCCTTCTGTCCCTTACCATGGTGTCTTGCTTTTCAACCCAGCTAGTCTTGAATTTGTAGCAGTTCTCCTGCCTCAGCCTCCCAAATGCTAGGATTACAGGTGTGTGTCATCAGCCCATCTCTGTCCTCATGGCTTTGCTTATGTGCTTGTGTCCTCTCGGCCAGGGCATACTTGATTACACTCTTAATTTAACTGCAACTCCTACTTTCCAATCACCAGTGTTCTCCATTCTCCTCTGTTTCTACTGTAGTTTTCTTTTCTTTTTTCTTTTTTTTCCAAGACTGGCATCAAACTCAGAAATCAACCTGCCTCTGCCTCCTAAATGCTGAGATTAAAGGTGTGTGTAACCACGCCTATCCATAGCTTCCCTATTAAACACATTCTGTGAATAGTTTGCTTGTTGTATGTGTGTGCTCCACCCTATACTTACTATCGAGATGGTAATATTTGACTGCTCAGATGCCTGCAACTGAATAGGGACATCATTCATTTGTTGACTGTTTCTCCTTGGTTATTAGGCTATTCTGTGCTGTGGTAGTATGTGAAACAGGGCCTTTAGGCTTATTTTAGGTTTTGCTGTAGTTCTTTAAATCAACTAACAATAACAAGTCTTGTTTCAGGCTAACTTATTAACATATTGCAAATAAGGAAAGCATCAGACATTGTGACACTCATCTATAATCCCATCACTTGCCAGGCTGAGGCAAGATTTGCCTGAACTGCAAACATAGGATATGTAGGCTAAGGGGTATGCTCTAGTAGAATATGTACGTTGTATGTGCAAGACCCTGGGTTTAATCCCCAACATCAAAACCATAAGCAAAAAATAAAATAGAGTGTATATTACAACATCTAGCAAGTCTTCCAATAAATATTTTCCTTTTCATGTTCCCTTTATCAAATTCTCAGTTATAAGCATAAGGAAGGAGTTGGGGTAAGAGAGTAATTGAATAGGAATGATAGGAAAGAGGATGCCTTTTGGGAAGTAGATGAGCAGGTCGGGACAGGGGAGAGACATGAAGGAAGGAGAGAGTATATATGAAATGTCATAACGAAACACTTTACTCTGTGTGTTCTCTTTGGGAAAACCAGTATTGAAGAAGAGTATGCTCTGCTTAGGACCTGATGGGCCCTCTAATGTGTGCAGTTTCAGCTCTTAAGCCTCACATGCGTTTAGGTTCATTGATCCCCAGTATCTATGGGGTAGTCACAGTTAAATGACAGACATGCTGTTCGCTGTCAAAGAATGGAAGTGAATAGATACGTGTTATGGACTGTTCTTTGGATTTGGATTACTGTTGTGATGTATATGTTATATGTGTTGGAGAAGGGGCCACTTGTTGGCTCCCAGCCACTTAGCTCCAAAATAATCATACAGAAACTGTATTCACGAAATCACTGCTTGGCCCATTAGCTCTAACTTCTTATTGGCTAACTCTTACATATTAATTTAACCCATTTCCATTAATCTGTATATCGCCACGTGGCTGTGGCTTACCGGCAAAGTTTTGGCAGTGGCGGCTCCATGGCGGCCCCCTGACTGCTCCCTTCTTTCTCCTAGCATTCAGCCTAGCTTTGCCTGCCTACCTAAGCTCTGCCTTGCTATAGGTCCAAAGCAGTTTTTTTATTCATTAATGGTAATCACAGCACACAGAGGGGACTCCCACATCATACATACTGGAAGTTGTACCCTCACATGCTTCTCTCTTTCAGATGTTATTTTCCTACTGGTGTTTTTAGAAATTGACTCCTAAGAACGTATTGCCTACCTAACTGAAAATGTGACTTACCCTACTTTTCACAAATGAATATAATGATGGCTTACAGTTACTGTATTTTTAAAACTATTCTCTATCAAAGAAATAAACTTGTCAATATTAGGCACAATGAAAAAAAGCAAGTTGTCTGTTGCAGCCTTAGTCATCCTTACCATTTCTGAATGTCTTTTTCTCAGGGTTTCTTCCATGGATGAGGCATCCCTAGAGTTTTGTGAACATAGCAGCAAATTTAAGTTGCTTTTCTTAGATGTTGATGTAGAAAACTTGAGGCATTTGTACAGTTGAGTTATTTGAATGTCCATTGTCACAGGGGCTAGAAATGGGCACTCACTTGCTCGTCATCCAGGATTTACTTTACTTCTACATTCAAAAGCCCAGAATCTTCCATTTTTCATGGTGGTATTTCCTTCAGAATTGTAATGGTTTCTAGAGGGAGGGTGTATTCTAAACTTTTCTCTTTGCTGTCTATGCAGGTATTTCAGGTATTGAGTGAAAAGAAGCATATATATGCTATCAAATATGTGAACCTAGAAGATGCAGATAAGGAAACTATTGACAGTTACCGGAATGAGATAGCTTATTTGAACAAACTACAGCAACACAGTGATAAGATCATCCGCCTCTATGATTAGTATGGATCCATTTTTATTTTTAACAGAAAACTTTGTTTTTGCTATAATTCATAGGCAAAGAATAAATCCTTATTGATTTAATGTAGGCAATTATTGTTTTGTTGCTTCTGTTCATTTTTAAATGCAGTGAAATCACAGAGCGGTACATCTACTTGGTAATGGAATGTGGAAACATTGACCTGAATAGTTGGCTTAAAAAGAAAAAATCCATCAATCCATGGGAACGCAAGAGCTACTGGAAAAACATGTTGGAAGCAGTACACACAATCCATCAGCATGGTATTTTAAAATCTCTTCATATATATAAAGTTTAAAATAGTTGTTAATTGTGTCCTCTTAGAAAGATACTCCTGTTTTTTCAGTACCTACCTTTAGTAATTAATTGAAAGATTATTTCGAGATGAAGAAACAAACCCATTTCTTAAGAGTGGTCACACAGAGGACACAGAATGTAAACTTCAATCCACACACGTGCAGTGTAACTCTATCCTCCTCGTATTAACTCGGGGTTCTTACCTTCACATCCTTGGATTATAGTAGTAGGTCCTAGACTTAAGGATCTGGACATCCTAAAAATGGGAAGGTGATGGTCAGTACTTCAGCTTCCACAGAATTTCCTGTTTTCTTGTCTCAGAGTTGGCTTTTTGCTTTTGTGTTTTACTATTAGCCCCTGGTTTTGTTTGTTTGTTTTTATGTGTTCTTAGTTCTTTTCAGAGCCCTTCTTTGCACTTTACCCTGTCTTTAAAATAAACGTGTTCAATTTAATGTTTTCTCTGCTTCTCTTTTTCTAACCTAAGAATAATGAGTCAGTGATTAGGATTCTTGGGTAGTGTGGGAAGGTCTTGCTCTCTGACTGTGGTTGGTGATGCTCTCCTGGGCAGTGTGCAACAGTGTCCCACATTTTGACTGCCAAAACACCTAGCTTCAACCCCTCCTTCCTTTAGATCTAGGCCCTGTAACCTTGAACAATTCACTTACAGTCAAATTACATTAGTGTACTCACTCTGAAAATGAGGATAGTGGTACTTACTCATTTATTCAGCATTGTTAACAGGTCTAAAGTGTTCATTACAAGTGGCAAGTTTAGAGTGGCACTTGGCACACTGAATTTGCTAAGAAGGTATAGAATGTGTAATAAATGAATATTAATGTGTTGACTAGTTAAAAGAATCAGCTTGATCCAGAGATTGTAAACTGTTTTTGTTCATAGAATGTTTTACTATATCTAATGTAGTGGATTTTATTTTGAAGGCATTGTTCATAGTGATCTGAAGCCTGCTAATTTTCTAATAGTTGAAGGAATGCTGAAGCTAATTGATTTTGGGATTGCAAACCAAATGCAGCCAGATACAACAAGCATAGTTAAAGATTCTCAGGTAGGACACTTTTTGCTGTTTTGAATTGTGTTTTAGTGTTTTGAACCAGGGTTTCATATAACCTAGAATGGCCTTGGCCTTGGTCTGTATCAGTGGCCAGCCTTCAATTCCTGATCCTGCTGTCTGTGCCTCCCAGGTGTGGAATTACAAGTGTGAGCCCAAGGCCTTGCTTCAGGTAGAACTCTTAGTGATTGCTGATAATAAGGTTTAGTTCCTTTATATCCATTAAATATTTTGCCATTATATTTTTTTACTGACCATGTTCTTCAAAAAAATTTGAAGTCTTTTTAAAAGAATAGAAGCCATGATTATAAAAGGTCCAAAACCATAGTCAATTTGATTTAGAAAAGCAGTTCAAAATCAGACAAATAATATCAAGAAATTTTGAATGGTTTTCTCATTGCTGAAGCAGAGCAAAGAGGGGCCGTGGCTGCATGCTCTCCATTGTCCTTTTTTTTTTCTTCGCACTTAAATTGGGAGATTTTTTTAAGAGAGCTTTATTGGAAATAGTGAAACATTCCACTCAACTACATTAAAAAAAAGAATTATTTTCTTTCTTATTTGTGGTGTGTTTGTGCGTATGTTTGTCAAGTGCAAGCATGCTCACATCAGATTGTGCAGCACGCTCACCTCTGTAGCCCCAGCTGTGTTCTTACAGTAAAATCTTCAATAGCAAATGGAATGAAGCTGTGTCATAAAAAATAAACTAGTGACATGAAGATAGATCTGAAAGGTAATCTTGGCTGAACCTCCCTTGCTGTATCCATGAATGCAGATTCCTGAAAGAGGTCTGTCAATTCTTGAAGCAAAATCAGACTTTGTTAGGAAGAATCAGTTGACAGCATCCACTTAAAATAATTCTACTTGACAGTCAGTCATTACTTTTTGTATCAAAAGTACAGGTGAACATTGGTTTATAGATAAACTTGAAGTTATCTATGGCAAGATCCTACCATCCAGGCTTTGTGTGTTTCTTTTGTTCTTAGAACTAATGCAGTGGTTCTTAACCATCTTACTGCTGTGACCCTTCAATACAGTGCTCATGTTGTGGTGACCCCAACCATAAAATTATTTTCATTGCTACTTTATAACAGTAAATTTGCAATTATTATGAAATGTAATGTGGGCATCTGATATGTAACCCCCTGGGAAAGGTTCGTTTGACCCCCCCAAAGGGGTTGAGACCCACAGTTTGAGAACTGCCAAACTAAAAGATTATCCTATACCATTTTTGACTATAGAAACTCTTATATGATTTAGATTTCCAACCCGTTTCAGTCTGCATATGGGGCCAAAGATTTTGGAAAGATAAAGCTGTTGGTTCTTTTTATTTATACTTTAAGTTGTTGGTTGGTTTACTGAAGTGAAAATGTTGAATTTATTTGAACATGGAAGTGAGTGACAGTCAAATCCCTGAGTTCGGAATTAGCCTAGGCGGGTGAAAAGGCAGATAATATTAGTTTCCCAACACAGTTACAGACAAAGCACAGGCACTCGGAAATGAGCCAGTTTGTTCCCAATCTGACTCACTTTGTTGGAGTTGTAACGTGATCTTACATATATTGTTGGCAGTTATTTGAATTTTTCAAATCTGTCACTTAAATCACTAATTATCCAAGTTTCTAAGAACACATATATGTATTTACAAGTACAGCAAGATGTTTTCATTGTTTTCTGTGATTTGGCAAATAGGTTGGTACAGTTAATTACATGCCTCCAGAAGCAATCAGAGACATGTCTTCTTCAAGAGAACATGGGAAAGTCAAGACCAAGGTACTGGAAACAGCTCACCTCGCCTGGCACCAGCGAACTGCACCTTTGTAATTGCTTTGGGATTTACTTTCCCCTACATATGTTTGTTCACCACATGTATGTAGTGTTCTTGGAGGCCAGAAGAGGCAATTACATCCCCTGAGACTGGAGTTAGAAAGCTGTGAGCTGTGGGGTGGGTGTTAGGAGTGGAGCCCAGGCCTCTGGAGAAGCTGCCTGTGCTCCTGACCACTGAGCCATCTCTCCAGCACCAGTTTCACTGTTCTTTATTGGCTTGAGGTTGTCCTTTGATGCTATTCTTTTGTATGGTGGTTCTTCACAGTGTGCTCATATCAAATTGACCTAGGGAGAGCTTTTTGAAGTTTTAAGTTAAAGGCAATTTTAACAATAACTCTGATTTAGACACCAGAAATGATATTCCTTGATATCCTGTGGTATGTTTTTGTTTGTTTCCTTTCTAATTTTTTGCACTTACTGTTTTTTTTTTATTTGTTTGTTTTTTTTGTTTTTGTTTTTTTCGAGACAGGGTTTCTCTGTGGTTTTGGAGCCTGTCCTGGAACTAGCTCTTGTAGACCAGGCTGGTCTCGAACTCACAAAGATCCGCCTGCCTCTGCCTCCCAAGTGCTGGGATTAAAGGCGTGCGCCACCACCGCCAGGCTGCACTTACTGCTTTTGTAGTACTGGAGATTGAAACTAGAATCTTGTGTTTTTTAATAATCCTTTATTTATTTGTGAATTCTACTAGCCACCAGTGGCAACTTTATTTCAATCTTGAGTGCTCTTAGCCCTCTCGATGTCCCTCATCAGAGGCCTATTTTCTCTGTTCACGATACACCAGGCTAATCTTTCTTTTGCTGTTGCAGTATTTGCACATACTTGGGACCCAGCAACCTTCATGTCCGTAATGCTGCCTCTTCTTCAGCAGTGACATACCTTATGTTTCCCCTTGTGAGTTGGACTTGTGAATAATGTTTATTTTAGAAGAAAGCAGAGTAACTGAGAAAGGAAGTTTTCATTTCAGCATCTGACTCACTGCTGGATGAATTTGCTTTTCTTCCCTAGAAAACTAGGTTTTTAGGGATTCAAAGAACTTACATAATGTCTGCCTTATATGTCCATGCCTATGTTGGTCCACACATGTATGGTGTGTGTGTGTAGACATTAATGTTCTAAGTGTGGGCACATTTGTGCTATAGCACATACATAAATGGCACAGGGTGACTTTGTGTATCCATTGTCACCACCCAGCCTGTTGGAAATAGTCTTTTTGTTGTTGTTGTGTGCCCAGGTGTACAGCAAGCTAGCTGATCCCCAGGCTTTGGGGGTTTCTTTTGACTCCCACTCCCACCTTGCCCTGGGTTGCCTTGCCTGACTTCACAGGGTTCTGGGAATCTCAACTCAGGCCCTCAAGCTCGGGCAGCAGGTGCTTTCCCACTGAGCAGACCGTCTCCCCAGCCCAGCTTGTGTAAAACCTTGTTGAATGTTTTATTTTATAAAGATGTTTTCATAACTGTTTCCCTTCTGATTTCTTCTCTGATTTATAATTGCTCTCTTAAGTTTTCTTTAGACTCCTCATGGTTTTGTTGAACTTAAAAAAAAAACAGATATTAATTTTATGCACAACTCCTATTTTATCTTACTTTCCAGTTTGTGTTTTTGTCTTTGCTAGGTGTTTGGTTATTTGTGCTCTCCATGTTCTCTGTTTTGTTTTTTTTTTTTTTTTTTTTGCTGCCGTTGTGTTTGTTTTGCTTTGTTTCGCTGTGACTTTTGCTTGAAGGCCGGGTCCAGTTTTGAACCTTTGACTGGCTTTGCACTTGAGGAGAGTCTCCTGCCTTGGCTTCTTGGAGTGGTGGCATTATGTGGGATGGGAATTACATTGCTTGAGTTACCACTGACAGTGCCCAGCTAAATATTTTCACTCTTTTGGGTAGGAGTGCAGGGAACTCAACCTGGGGATCTTGTGTTTGCCTCTTGAGCTGTCTCTCCTTGGTACCCTGGTTATTTTCCCATCTTAATTTAAATCATAATTGTTTTAAATTTAGTGTTTGTACTTTAATTAAAGCATCTGATTTAGCTGGGTGTGGTGGTGCGAGCCTGTGATCCAGCCCTGGGAAGCTAAAGTGAGGGAATCAAGAGGCTAACGACTGTGGTCTCTGTAACATCACCTTTCTTGTAAAAAGATGAAAGGTTTACTGAGTTTTAATTTGGCTATTTTTTACAGAGTTTATTATAGTATTTTAAATGCCTATTTTTAAGGTTTGTAATTTCAGTTAGAATCTGTCTTTTTTACTTTAAGATTTTGAATTATATCTAGAGATTATAATTTTTTCAATTGTCAGCTCAGTGATTTAATATGCAGAGACAAATTTCTCCTCCCCTTCTCTTTACTCCATTTTCAATTTTTGAGACATAGTCTCTCTCCTTGTGTTGTCTAGACTTTATCTTAACCTTCTAAATGCTGGGATTGCAGATGTATGCCACCACACCTGACTCAGCTTTCATGATACAGAAATATTTTAAAATTTCATCCTTGGGGCCAGAGACGTGGCTCAGTGTTCAAGAGCAAGTTCTGCTTTTGCAAAGGACAGTTAACTTCCCAGCATCCTTGTTGGGTAGCTCACAGCTGCATGTAACGCCAGCTCCAGGGGATTCAATGCCTTCTTCTGTTTTCTGTGGACAACCATACACACACACACATACATAATTTTTATTTTTCAAGTTTATCCTTTTCCTTAATTGGTAATATTGTTTATCACGGTTAAAACCGCTTCCTTTTCTTTAGGTGATGTTTTGCTCTCATTTCCTAATTGAATTGTAGTTTCCACTTTACTTTCATTTCTTAAACTAAAGAGGTTTTGAATGTCCATTTCTTTTTCTTCCCTGCCTTCACCCACTTTTTGTATCATTTGATTTAGATTTATTCTTTGTGGAAAGTTTATGTCCGTGTTTGTTTTTCCTTCCCCATCTTCCTGTTGCTGTGATTATTCCTAATGTGATTTAACACCATGAACATTTAATAGTGTTGATCTGGGGGGAGAATGAATGATACTTATTAGTTAGTACTCAGAACTCCTGAGGGGGTAGCTCAGCAGTTAAGAGTACTTGCTGCTGTTGCAGAGAACCTGGGCTCAGTTCCCAGAACTCAGGTACACATGTACATAAAATAAATAAATAAGCCTGCAAGGAAAAAGAAACTTCTGTGATTTACTATGTTCTATTTATTTAATACCCATGGCAATATGCTTTATCTTATTTTTGCTGTTGGGGATTCACTTGGGGGTTCTGTGCATGTCATGTGAGTGATCTGCCCCTGAATCCTTCCAGCCTGTTTCAGTGGTTTATACTCTGATTTGGGTTGTATAATTTAAACAGCCTTTTAAAAATACATACATATTGTGAGTTCAGATACAAATGCATTACAGTGTAATCATTTTGGAACAAATAAATTCAAATTTATAGGTATGTTATTTTTTAGTGTTATATTTTCACAAGATGCCAAGAATTTATTTCTTTTAAAGTAGTTTTGAGTTTTTCAAAGGTTTAAAGTTAGAAACTAGGAAAAGATGTTTTGTCGTGTCGTGTAAGCATAATCTTACACTTTGATATTCACTGAGATGATAAGTGTTACTATATAATCAGGATTACAGATATATAACATTATGTTACCTTTCCTTTTAAAATAAAGCAACCTTTTCTGCTTCTCCTACTTAGATAAGCCCCAGAAGTGATGTTTGGTCCTTGGGGTGCATTTTGTACTATATGACTTACGGGAAAACCCCATTCCAGCATATCATTAATCAGCTCTCTAAACTACATGCCATAATTGACCCTAATCATGAGATTGAATTTCCTGATATTCCAGAAAAAGATCTTCAAGACGTGCTAAAGGTAACATTAACCGTATGTGGGTGTAGAAAGATAATGTCTCCTAACTTCATGTTTGTTTAAGGGAAATGGTTGAGCTGATCGGAGCTGTTCAGCTGTCTTTGATGTAGTCCAATGAAAGGACTTCCTGGTGGACGCTGTTTGAAAGCATGCTTTCCAGGGAAGGTGTTGGGAATTTCTAGAGGTGACTCAGAAAGCCTCTCACTGTTGTAGATGGCTGCTGCACAGCTTCTGTAGTGTGATGTCATCTGGAGAGCTGATTTGTCAGCCTCGTGTATGAAAACTTGCTTTTTGTTTTTTTTCTTTAGCGCTGTTTAGTAAGGGACCCTAAAGAGAGGATATCCATCCCTGAGCTGCTCGCACATCCTTATGTTCAGATTCAACCCCATTCAGGTACTGTTTCCTTAAAGGTTACTATTTTCTAGATTACCAACATGAATGAATAGTGTGTTAACTATTGAGAACCAGAAACTAAACTGGCCACTCTCTTAGAGCCTGGTTTCTTTAAGGAAGTTAGTATTTTGCTTAATAATAAAGTTAATAACATTGCCTTTTTTAACTTCCTTGTATAAGCTTACATATCTTACATAGGGATTGAGATAAATTACAATAATGCTCATTAGTGTACAACTCGTTAAGTAGGTTGTACGTCTTTCTGTTGTTTGGGGAACAGAATGGCCTTGAATTCATGATCTGTTTACCCAGCCTCCAAAAAGTGGTTTTTCGTTTGTTTGTTTGTTTTGATTGGGGTGGAGGGGTCTTGCCTCAAACTCCTAATACTCCTACTCAGCCTCCCGAGGGCTGGAATTACAGGCATGTACTTGGCCAGAAGGTGTATTTTCAAATGGACTTACAATATTCTTATTAGCACTAGCATTTTGTTGATTATGTTTCTTGTACAGGCAGCCAAGTGGCTAGGAAAACCAATGATGAAATGAAATATGTTCTGAGTCAACTTGTTGGTCTGAATTCTCCTAACTCCATTTTGAAAACTGCCAAAGTAAGTGCATCTACATTCATTCCAGCTGTTTTAAGGCAGTGAGTTAGATACTTAAAGATACATAGCCGAAAGGAAAGTTAACTGTTCACATCTATGATGAAATACATTTCTGCAATTTGGTACTTAACTGTTTCTGAGCGTGTTTTACGAGTGTAAATCTTTCTGATTTGTGTTGTTATTGTTCTTGGGGTTCCAGCTGGAATAAATAAGATTTATCTTTTAGACTGTCTCAACGTTCTTAGCACAGCTCTAGAAATCATCTCTTCTAGTCAATTTGTAGTACAGCCTTAGGAAAATGACAGTATTTATCATGTGCAATAGCTTCTGGACAGTTGATACATTTCCCCAAAGCACATCTCTTGCTTGCCAGCTTCCTGGGACTTTCTCTCTCCGCCTTGGTGTTGAGGCTTGATTTTGCTTGTTTGTTTTGAGATAGTCCTTCACTGTTTCTGCCTTTGTAGCTTAGACCATAGGGTGTGTATCAAGACTAGCCTTGAACTCAGGCAGAAATTCACCTGCCCTCTGTTTCTGGGGAACTGGGAATAAAAGTGTGGGACACCTTACTCAGATCCATGGTGATATTTGATCTCATTGTCATCAAATACTTTTGTAATTTCTAATATCTATGATTGCTTATCAATTAGATTAGCTACCAAGCTATTACAAATTAGATATTTGAATCATAATATAAAATTATGGAAATTTTGGAAATTATTTTATTATATATAATTTTATTATTTATATATAAAATTATGGAAAGTATTGAAATAACAATACTTTGCTCTCTGGATTAGGATCAAGTCAACCTATATTGCTAATTGGGGCCCATCTTGAATGATTTTATTATATATTCTCTATACTGTGTATATTCGTGGAATCTTAGACTTTTTTTCTCAGATGCTGATGGCTGAAAAAATACCCTTGGGGTGTTTAAGTTGAACAAAATGTTTTTATATTTATTGCTTTTTATTTCATGTCTCCATATTTTAAGTTCATACCAGTATATTATTCAAAATGTTCTTTTGAGTAAAATTAAGGTGAATTAATCACTCTATCACTAAGATTTTATGTTACTTAATGGCAAATATATCTGTCACCTTCATAAGTTTGACGTTGACTAGTCTTCAGTCTTTACTTTTAATAACTCAGTTGCCCCCTGTGTCCATGGGTTCCATGTCTAGAGTCAACTGCAAATCAAAACATTCTGAAAAATAATTTATGTGAGCCGGGCGGTGGTGGCGAACGCCTTTAATCCCAGCACTCGGGAGGCAGAGGCAGGCGGATCTCTGTGAGTTCCGAGACCAGCCTGGTCTACAAGAGCTAGTTCCAGGACAGGCTCCAAAGCTACAGAGAAACCCTGTCTTGAAAAAAAAAAAAAAAAATTTATGTGTACTGGACTATACCTACTGTCTTGTTGTTATTCTGTAAAAAATGCAGGAAATTGTATTAGTTATTATAAGTGTGTATTAAAATATTCAGAAAGATGTGTGTACACATATGCAAATAGTATGCCCATTCTGTAAGGGACTGGAGCGTCTGTCAGGTAGGAATCCTGCTAACCAGCCCTTCAGTACACTAAGGGTCAAGGGAACCTAATTATAGGACTATTTACATAATAATTTTAATGTCTTTGTTCATTAGTGTAAATAATTTCTGAGATTATATATTGTTTCCAAATGAATATACATGTAGGAATTTATGAGTAAGTTTTAAGGAAAAGTAAGGGGCTTGCGGTGGTCCTGCAGGTCTGCATATGTGCCGATTGTGTTGTATTATAGTTCTCTTGTGGAAAGGTTAAGCTGCATTTCTTTATATTTAGAATTCATCACAGTCTTTACTAATTTAGTAATACATTGAGCTAAAATGTTGAAAAACAGATTTGTGTTTTTATTTCAGACTCTCTATGAACGCTATAATTGTGGTGAAAGTCAAGATTCTTCATCATCCAAGACATTTAACAAAAAGGCAGAAGGAAATTGATGTACAGCTACTCACAAACCAAAAACACTAAAGCTGTCCATCTGCTATACTTTTGAATCGCCACGGAAATCTACCTTAGGAAACAAACTTGCCTGAATTTTTTCAGTAAAAATCTTTGTAAATTATCCTCTAAAAAAACTGTAAAGTTAACCACTGTGTTAGAATATATAGTTGTGCTTTTGTTTTTTGTTTTTCTGTAAATCTAATCGGTCTGGTAACATTTCACACGGAGCGGGGACTCTGGACTGTTGACGATCTCTGTAAATAGAGAGGACCTCTTACTCTGAAGACCTGTGTAAATAAAGCTTATCCTCATGAGGGACACCACTGTCCCCAAGTTGTACGACAGTTTTCTTTAATGTGTTACTGGCATGATAGCAAAATTCTTAGAACTGGATTAAGAATAGACCTTAGTAAATAAAGTATATCAGTTAAATTTCCAAAGGGTTTAACATTGTAAGTAGGTCTGGGTGGTGCAGGCAGATCTCGTGAGTTCAAGGCCAGTCTGGTCTACTATCTATCATTTATCTTTCTGTCTGTCTCTCTATGTCTCTATAACTCTATCTTCCTCCTGCCCCCAGCAATCCCCCCATTTATGATGAGGATGAAGATGATTAAGGATGGAAGACCAGATCACAGGTTTGTAGGCCATTTGTTATGGACATTGGCTTTAGAGTCAAGAGCAAAATTGTCATAGGATTTTGAAATATGAACTGACATGATCTTACTGTAGCTGATTTTAAAACACAACCTGGGAACAAGCTAAGGGGGGAAAAGTAGACCTGGATAAGACCAATTAGGAAGTCATTAACAGCGCGGATGTGGCAAGCAGCAGTCAGGCTATAGGTGTATTTAGAAAGAGGCAAACCTTGCCTGATGAACTAGATGAAAGAAAAAGGATTAAGGATAACCTAAGAGTTCAGAGTTGAGTAACCAGGAGTGTTGTGGCTTGGATATGAAATGCTCACCACAGGCTTTTGTGTTTGAACTTGGTCCCTAGCAAGAATTGCTGTTCTGGGAAGCTATGGAACCTTTTGAGTTGGGGGCAAGGCTGATAGAGATGGGTCATTGGGAAGGCAAATGTTTTGGGGGTTACAGTTCAGCCCTGCTCCCAACCCACGTTTGCGGAGTACTGACTCAGATCTGAGTCAGCAGTGCTGCCAGCTCCCCTGCCCTATGCTAAGCATGTGCAGATACCTTCGCTCCCCCACCATGGTGGGGCCAACATTACCCGCTTACATTGTTTCTGGCAGACACTTGGTCACACAGTGAAAACACTTAAGTGAAGCTGTCATCAGCTGAGATGGTAAGAATTTCAGGGAGCAGGTTTGGTTTGTTGTTGTTTTGAGATACTCTTGCTGTGTAGCCCAGGCTGGAATGCTCAGCCCTCCTGTCTCCACCTACCAGTGTAAATATATGGTTTCAGGACTGGCCTAGAAAACAGATTTTGATAAAGGCCAATTTTACTTTGCATTTTGAGTTTGAGATGTCTTCATGAACACTGAAGTGGAGATATCAAGAAGTTAATTGGATGTGTAAATCTGGACCTCAAGAGTTGAGTCTAAATTGTATACAGACCTGCAATTATCTACATGTATATGGCCTTTGAAATCATATGAGAGGATGAGCCCAAAAGAATGTTTAGTAATGAAGATCCTTCTTCCATTAAACAGAGACCTGGGAAACGTGAACCAAGCTTAGCATTCAGTGTTGTATCTGACTCAACTTTTGGTAGATGCTTCCTTTCAAGACTGCTTACCTGCAAATCTTACCTTACAAAAGACAGATGGAAAATGGAAGTCCAAAACTCAAGAAAACAATTAAGAGCCGACCTACATAGTCCCCAGCAGTGCATGCTCACACTCCTTGTTTTGACCTGGTCACAGGCCCCATTCAGCCCATAGACTTAATGGGGGGCGGCACTGTCACCTGGGAGAAGCCTAGTCAATGCAGTTAGAATCTGGGCTATGCTAAACACAGGACTACCTGTGTTTCTCATTGCTGCGGAGAAACGAGACTTCTTTGTTTTGTGCATTTAGGATCAAGCAAGGATCCAGGTCTCCACTTCTGACTCTAACTTTGAGCTCATATGTGAAAGTTGCTGCCTCTTAGAAACAAGGATTTTTCCATCATCTAAATTCATTTTTTATATGAATTTGTAGACTTGAGACCTGGACCCAGGAGAGGGTATAGACCATTTCCCTAATTTCCCTAAATACGGCTATCATGTTCCCACATCACTGGCAATAGCTCAGCCTCCACAAACTTGCCAGAGAATGCCTAAAGGAAGTGCTTTCCATTTAAGACTGGCCCCACTCTATAATCTTCAAATAAGTGGCATTCAGTAAGCCCCAAAGTATGTTCACAAGAAAGAAATTAACATTCAGAACGCTCTGTTATAGAATATCCCTTTGTTCAACTCACATAAGTAGAGAACATTAAGCCGTCAAGACATTTTCTGTTGTGGGATATTTGTACACTGTGTGGAGGTGTAATAAAAAGCTGAATGGCCAATCGCTAGGCAGGAGGTTAGGTGGGACTTCTGGAGAAAGAGAAGACTCTGGGAAGAAGAAAAGGTGGATGGAGGGGAACAGGAGGTGCAAGTTGGAAGAGGTTATGCCACATGGTAGAGCATAGATTAATATAAACAGGTTAAGTTATAAGAGCTAGTTGGGGACAAGCCTAAGGTAAAGGCTGAGCTTTCATAATGAATAAGAAGACTCCATGTCATTATTCACGGGCTGGCAGTCCACACAAGAAAGCTTGCTACAATTTTCTAATCAAACACCAGCTTACACCACTGAAATTGAGTGTTCACGAGATCAGTTAACAGAAGGGTGTCGATGGCACACTTGACTTTGCTCATGCACACCAGTTGACATGCAACACATGCTTGGGAAATTTGTGGACCCAGGTCAGCACTCTTCTTAGCTGAATTTAAAAGGGCGCAGTTTGTGTTCCAGGCTGAGGATTAGAATAAGTTGTTTATTCTGGGCTCACAGGTGCCACTTCGAGGTGTCGGTGCCTTTCCCAACGACATATTTGCGACTCTCGACAAAATGAGCCTTCTAAAAGGTTGCAAGTGCAGTTATTTCAAGACAACCTTTAAGGAGTAGTGGTATTTACAAGGAGCCTCTAAAGGGTAATTGTCTACTTTTAAAGTCGGGTTTTTGCCGTGCTTTCTACATGAGTGGGTTTACAGAACTGCAGCCTAAGCCCACGAGTTATTCATCACATAAACTTAAATGCAAAAACCCTGAAAACTAATAAATGTGGTTGAAAATGGATGAATTGAGGCGTAAAGCAAGTCACATAACAGGAGAAACTATTTGAGACCCTTTGGAAAATATTGTTACTCCAAGTATACAGAGCTTCAAGGAAGTGTTCATTAAAAGAAGATGACACCATATGCTCGTTACAATGACCAGACCCCAAATCCAGACATCAAATCTGGGGAGCGCAGGCAGCCATGAGAATGCATGTTTAGTTTCAGGCTAGAACACGGAGCATGGCAGGTGCTTGCAACTCTAAATACTCTTGGACATAGTTTCTACCCATGAAAAATAGATGAAAACTGACATCATACAAAAACCTGCACAGAAATGTGTATAGCAGCTGCATTCAAGACTTAGAAGCAACCGAAACAGCTTTCAGCTGAGTAATAGCTGGTCCAAGGCACACCCAAAGGACTATTAGTGAGGTGGGGGGGGGGCGGGGGGGAGAGAGTCACTGTCCAAAAGGCTTGGAGCAAAGAAGTTCACCTGAAAGGAAGGGGCATCTGGAGTGCAGGGTGGACCCTGAAGGGTGAGTATGGACCCCAGGTTGGCTGTTAGCTCTAGGTTCTGTGGAGTTTGGTGAGTGGCCAGACCATCCCCTCGGCACCTTCTGAGGGAGACTGGAGGGCTAGCTGACTCTCAGAGTAATCCAGGCTTTACTTAAAAGGAAGATATTAAATTCAAGCTATTGATACAGAAGGAAAAATGCATTTTTCTAAAACCTAAAAAGTAGAATTTCACACTCAAGGTTGTATTTTCATCTGTGGGATTCAGATAAATAACTATAATGTGCAATGCAATTGAAAAGATTTAGTGCCAAGTTTTGCTGAAACTTTGTAGTGAGGCAAAAATTAGCGGACAGCTTGGCATGGTGGTGCAAGCCTAGAAACTTGGCACTTCGGGCACCAGGGCAGGATGCTAGCCACAAATCTGAAGCTAGTCTGGGATGCAGAATAAAACTCTCATCCCACCCAAACCCATTTTTCTAAATACATAAAAATAGCAGCAGAGCTAATATTTTATATCCACTTGGGGGCACTGCCAGGCTGCTTTTTACTTTAGGGGCAAACAGGCTTCACAATCATGAGTACAGGGTTTCCAACCTGCCTGTAAAAAGGTACTATTTGTCAGCCAAGGAAACTGGTGTGGATTGTGATAAGTCCCTGGTTTAAATCTGAAGTAGCCCAGTCACCCCTATTCCCCTGTGGTATTTACATGTAGAAAAATTAAGATTAAGCCTTAGGCCAGCACGAGTACCAGCACCAGGGAGGCAGAGGCAGGTAAGTCTCCATGAGTTCACCACCAGCCTGTCTACATGGTGAGTTCATACCATCCAGGGCTGTGCGATGAGACCCTGTCTAAAATAAATGTTTTAAACTGTAAGGCTTAGTTGTGCTGGTCCTGTTTTAAGTGCTCAGTAGCCAAATGTGCCTACCTGGCCAAGGTACTGGAGAGGTTGACAGAATGTATCACCGGTGGTTGTTCTTTTAGAGAGTCTCTCCAGGAACTGCCGCAATGAAATCCATCCACACCGCATCATTCCTGGCTTAATCTAGTTGGTCTCTAATCAGCAGTTGAAAAAAAAATCTGTTTTACTTTAATTGGTTCAATTGTCTATTTAAAATGCAGCCATGGAGGCTGGGGAGATGACCTGTTGGCAAAATGCTTGCAAGCAGGAGGACCCAAATCCAATCCCCAACACCCACATACAAAGCCAGGTGTGGTGCTATGCACCTGGAATCCCATGGCTGCAGGACTGAGGCAGAAGCATCCCTCAAGCTCACTGGCAATCTAGTCTCGCTGAAATGGTAAACTTGAGGTTCGATGAGAGACCCTGTCTCGGAAACTAAGGTACGGAACCATAGAGGAGCCCATCTCATGTCACCCTCTGGCCTCTATACACATGCACACGGGCATCTGCACACAAATGACACACATTTTGTCATTCGTATTTTTTTTTTGTTTTGTTTTTTCGAGACAGGGTTTCTCTGTAGCTTTGGTGCCTGTCCCGGAACTAGCTCTTGTAGACCAGGCTGGCCTCGAACTCCCAGAGATCCGCCTGCCTCTGCCTCCCGAGTGCTGGGATTAAAGGTGTGCGCCACCACCACCCGGCTC